TGCTTGGTCCCTCGGGGAGCGGTAAGACCAGCTTGTTGACGGCTCTTGGAGGACGGGTTGGGGAAGGGAAAGGGAAGCTCACAGGGAACATATCTTACAACAACAAGCCATTATCCAAAGCTGTGAAGCGAACGACCGGTTTCGTGACTCAAGATGATGCTCTTTACCCTAACTTGACTGTTACGGAAACTCTAGTCTTCACCGCGCTTCTTCGGCTTCCGAATTCTTTTAAACAACAAGAGAAGATCAAACAAGCTAAGGCAGTCATGACTGAATTGGGTCTAGACAGATGTAAGGATACTATCATTGGAGGACCCTTCTTGAGAGGTGTTTCGGGTGGTGAGAGGAAAAGGGTTAGTATAGGGCAAGAGATTCTTATAAACCCTAGTTTGCTCTTTCTTGATGAGCCTACTTCTGGTCTTGATTCTACCACGGCTCAAAGGATTGTGTCGATTTTGTGGGAACTGGCTCGTGGTGGAAGAACGGTCGTGACCACAATTCATCAACCTTCTAGTAGGTTGTTCTATATGTTTGATAAGCTTCTGCTCCTTTCAGAAGGTAATCCGATCTACTTCGGTCTTGGATCCAATGCTATGGATTATTTCGCTAGCGTTGGATACTCCCCCTTAGTCGAAAGGATTAATCCCTCAGATTTTCTCTTGGACATCGCAAATGGTAAGCCTCTCCTTGTGGTATCTTGCTGGACAAGTAAGCCGTCATACTATAGCTTTTGTCTCTCCTTGTTGAATCTCACATGGATATATTATATATAGGTGTTGGATCAGATGAATCCCAAAGACCAGAGGCTATGAAGGCAGCTCTAGTTGCATTTTACAAGACAAACCTGTTGGAAAGTGTTATCAATGAGGTTAAAGGACAAGATGATTTATGCAACAAACCAATAGAGAGTCCTCGTGTAGCGACCAATACTTATGGAGACTGGCCAACGACGTGGTGGCAGCAGTTTTGTGTTCTTTTGAAGAGAGGCCTTAAGCAAAGGCGTCACGATTCTTTCTCTGGCATGAAAGTTGCTCAGATATTCATCGTCTCTTTCCTCTGTGGTCTTCTTTGGTGGCAAACGAAAATTTCTCGTTTACAAGATCAGGTATTTTAGCTTTAATTACACACTTTTGCCTACATCATTGTGTAAATCCGTGAGGTGACCATACTTGTGGTTTATTTTTGCAGATAGGGCTGTTGTTCTTTATATCATCCTTCTGGGCATTTTTCCCTCTCTTCCAACAAATCTTCACATTTCCTCAAGAGCGAGCAATGCTCCAGAAAGAACGTTCCTCGGGCGTGTACAGGCTCTCGCCTTACTTCATCTCCCGATTAGTAGGGGATCTACCAATGGAGCTTATTTTACCAACTTGTTTTCTTGTCATCACATATTGGATGGCCGGTCTAAACCATAACCTCGCAAACTTTTTTGTGACCCTTTTGGTACTACTCGTCCATGTCCTTGTCTCCGGTGGGCTAGGGCTAGCCCTAGGCGCCCTAGTTATGGACCAGAAGTCAGCCACGACACTCGGGTCAGTCATAATGCTCACATTTTTGTTAGCAGGAGGATACTACGTTCAACATGTCCCAGTGTTCATCTCTTGGATTAAATACGTATCAATAGGTTACTATACCTATAAACTACTGATATTAGGTCAGTACACGGCGAATGAGTGGTATCCATGTGGCGAAAATGGGAAATTGAGGTGTCATGTTGGTGACTTTGAAGGTATTAAGCATATAGGGTTTAATAGTGGATTGGTCTCTGCCTTAGCTTTGACTGCGATGCTTGTTGTTTATAGAGTTATTGCTTATATCGCTTTGACGAGAATTGGTAAGACCAAATCTGGCTGATACTTAGATATATCTCCACTTTTTCTTTGTTTTTGATTTTAGAGCTTTTTTGAGTAAGAACGAATGTATAACATTATTGTTTTTTGGTTAAGTCAATTATATAATTTGAGAGATTGATTTGGTCCGGCTCAAGTGGTCCAAGTTATATCAGAATCTAAGTAGGCATAATGTGAAGAACATGTTCTGTGTGTGTATAAAAGGAAAGTTCAAAGCCAAATTCATGTTTGCTTATTGGTATGTGCTCACAGTCCAACACACTTTACACGTTATCATTCCAATTTTCATTAATTCGTACATCTAAAGATATTTATTTATAGCTCACGCGGTTTTCATTATCTCACTTTTAAAAGTCATATGAAGAAATTGAATTCGAGCTGCTGACGAATTTGTGGTGCATAGTAAACGTACTATGGGCTTCCAAGCCTCCGATCCCAATGATATCATATAACCCATTATTTGAGATTTACTTCAAGCACTAAGTGGTGTTAGGAGAATAATGAGTTAAATTAGTTTCCAGACAAAACCCTAAAAATTCATCAATTTTTTTTAGTTTCTAGCAAAGTAATGTTTTTTATGTGTTGAAAATAAATAGATGAACAAAAAGAAGACATCCAGCGTTTGAGAAAATATAAAAAGCTGATTCACATAAACGGGATGACAAAATTATCTTAGCGTTTCTCTTCGTAGTTTCTGTTATATTTTTTTATATGTTTAAACCAGCTAATTGTTTTGTATGTTGTTATTCACATATACGAACAAAATAATTCAACAATTTCAAAAGAATTTTAGCTAAATTGCTATTTTACACTCAAAGAATTGTGATCTACTTTGTAACTTTTTTTTTTCAATTTATATTTTTAAGTTCATATAAAACTATATATGTGGAAGTTTATCGTTTTTGGAAGGTTGTGTTGAAGTGGGAACTATTTTAAAATTCATTAGTGAAAAAAAGGGTTTAAGAATCATCAATCTCTATGTATAGTGTAGGTGCTACCTCCTACACCTACAATTTTTTAGGAGAGTCTAAAATTCAGAATGGAATAGTCATCACTAAGTCATTTATGAGTAAATGGCGAATTAATTATGTAGTCCAGATTTTCCTTATCTATGTCGAATTAATTATGTACAAATGTAGATTGCATAGGCGATGCATTTAGAAAGCATAATGCCTTTTTTTTTCCTTTTTTTTTTGGTAAACCTTCGTGATCACTGATCACCTTAATTATCTCCTTTAAAGCTTTTAACAAACATGTAACTTGAGAGAGAAAAACATACTTTAGAAACAGACCACATACGTGTACAACTCACTCATAAATCGAAGCCTGCATATATAATGATTTAAATGTCACCAACGATTTTTAGCACAAAAGTGGTAAATTTATGTCAATTAAAATGTATTTTTGTAAAAAAAAAAGTATAAAAATGCTATTGCAAAAAAAAAAAAAAAAAAATAGAGAAAAATGTTTGAAGTTTTGAACAAGTTAAATTATGGTTATCCATTATTTACCTCATTGTCCTCAAAACTATAACCTGTTTTTTGTCAGAATCATAAGAATATTATACGCTAATTAGATAGCAATTGTTGAGTTTCTTATCAACACATTTTGCAGTTACGCAAATCGTTGAACCAAACTTGTCGTATCTTTGCTGATATTCATAAATTATTATTTTTATGAAAGAAATGGGTGAGCATGCCCATCTCTCTATGAACTAGAATTCTCCACGTTCACTAAAATCTAAAATCCGAAAAGCAATTGAAAACGAAATGTAGAGAATAATAATAATAATTAAGAAAAAGAAAAAAAGAATTATCAAGAAGAAGAAGAATCGAGTTCTTTGAATCGCGTCACATTGTAATATATAAAGGCTTCTCTGACCTGTCCAGCTCCAGCATGGTCCAAATTTTCACTTGTCAACTTCTTAGGCCATTTATAGTATTTCTTGAGTGAACGAAACCTTAATTAATCTTTTTATTTAAATATAAACTAAAATATATACAAATAAATTTTTATGAGATAATTTTGAAATGTAAAAAATCGAAAATAGTTGCTCTGATAAAATTTGGAAATTTCTCTTTTGATCAAATACAAAGATCACACTACTTACTACATTTGTGAGACATAATACATTAAAACGATGATATTTTATCATCAATTATTATCTTTAACGATAAAGTATTAGTATTCTTAGTTCCTTATATACGTGTCTCATGTTAACGTATCTTTTCAATATAATTTAGTTAGAATTTGTAGTTTGTACACTTGTTCAATATTTTCTGCTCTTTTATTATTACTTTTTCTTCTTTTTTGTCTCTTTTGATTCTTTTATTGAAGTCTTGCCTAACTCTCCCAACACGTGTACATTTCACACGAACGGGAAAATGCATTCCACGCGTGTCTGATTAATACTCTTTTGTTCATAAAATCGTCTTATTACTCTTAGTGCCATTTGTTTTACTCAATAGATTCATCTGTCAAATAGTTAGTGCTTCTTCTTTTCTTTTTCTCACTCCATTCCAATGTAGTGAGAGTGATTAGGGACAAAAAAAAATATCGAACTGGTCTCCAATTATTTGGAGCATTTTGATAAATACACATCGTTGTTAGGCTTTTGATCAGAATTCTAGAAGAAAGGACAACTGGCTTGACACGTGTCGATAAACTTAGCTTTTTCTGACGGTTCATGCACCCGAACGGCACCAATATAGTCATATAGTCGAATATAGAAATTGTAAAGCTTCATTGCTTTCTCAGTGGAAAAAACTTACTATAATTAGGATATTTCTAGTAAATATTTAGAAATAAGAGAAAATAAATTACTGCCACTTACTGCGATCACTTGACTTTTCTCATAATCGTAGCACACAAATTTCCTATACATAAAAAAAAATAAAAAAATACTCCTATACACATGAAAATTTTCCTCGTGTTTTTGCACATTTATATCGCTGGAAAAATATTGTACAACTCATTGATAAGGTCGGCCAGTTCATATACGTGGCAGTATCTCAATGGTTAAACGGGTCCACAGAGAAAATCGTAATTAGATTTTAAAACAGTAAGACAAGGACGACCGTACTTATCCTTGAAGAACCTTTGGCTTTTCCATAGCCTATATATACCAACTACTTGCCATATGTCCAAAAGATCGACGAACATAAAAACAAATATTTGGGTTTTTAGAGTTCGATACTTGAAATCTTTTTTTGGTTGTTGAGGAATCGAAGTAGAAGAGCATAAATGGGTGTTAGAGAGAAGGATCCGTTAGCCCAATTGAGTTTGCCACCGGGTTTTAGATTTTATCCGACAGATGAAGAGCTTCTTGTTCAGTATCTATGTCGGAAAGTTGCAGGCTATAATTTCTCTCTCCAAGTCATCGGAGACATCGATCTCTACAAGTTCGATCCTTGGGATTTGCCAAGTAAGCAAACATGTTTTACTCTTCTAGGGTGTTATTTTTGATGATTATATTTTTGGTTTCAATTAAGAAAAATATCAAAACTAAAGGGACTATTATTGTAAATTTTCAGGTAAAGCCTTGTTTGGGGAAAAGGAATGGTATTTCTTTAGCCCAAGAGATCGGAAATATCCGAACGGGTCAAGACCCAATAGAGTAGCCGGGTCGGGTTATTGGAAAGCGACGGGTACTGACAAAATTATCACGGCGGATGGTCGTCGTGTCGGGATTAAAAAAGCTCTGGTTTTTTACGCCGGAAAAGCTCCCAAAGGCACTAAAACCAACTGGATTATGCACGAGTATCGCTTAATCGAGCATTCTCGTAGCCATGGAAGCTCCAAGGTAAACAAAGATTGAATATTTCCCAGATCCGAATTCTTCAAAACTGAAATCAAAATCGTTAATTTTGTTAAATTTTGTTTCTTTCAGTTGGATGATTGGGTATTGTGTCGAATTTACAAGAAAACATCTGGATCTCAGAGACAAGCTGTTACTACCCCGGTTCAAGCTTGTCGTGAAGAGCATAGCACGAATGGGTCGTCATCGTCTTCTTCGTCTCAGCTTGACGACGTTCTTGATTCGTTCCCGGAGATAAAAGACCAGTCTTTTAATCTTCCTCGGATGAATTCGCTCAGGACGCTTCTTAACGGGAACTTTGATTGGGCTAGCTTGGCAGGTCTTAATCCAATTCCAGAGCTAGCTCCGACCAACGGACTACCGAGTTACGGTGGTTACGATGCGTTTCGAGCGGCGGAAGGGGAAGCGGAGAGTGGGCACGTGAATCAGCAGCAGAACTCGGGCGGGTTGACTCAGAGTTACGGGTATAGCTCGAGCGGGTTTGGTGTTTCGGGTCAAACATTCGAGTTTAGGCAATGAGAGGGAGAGTTTACTGATGGGTGAAAAAAAGTAAAAAAAGGAAAGAAAAAAATAGCCTTGGAGATGGTAGAGTGGCAATTGATGTAAATAATAGGGATATTTATGGGCTTTACCGATTCGGTGAGGCTTAGAATTCCAGAAAGGAAAAAGGCTGGACAGGAGACTAGTTTGATCCAACTTGATGGGCCGCAAAAGTGTAACATTTCAATACGTTGAAATTATTTCTCAGCGTAGAAAAAATAAATGGTTACCAATATTCTTAAACCGGTTATGTGTTGATATCGTTTGCACAAAACGGTTTGTGTTTGAATTAATAACTTAACACACAACATTTGAATACAAATGTATTTATTTTTGATCATGCGTTGTCGCATATCACTTTAGCTGCTTAAACACTAAATTATATACAGTATAGTCCAATTTCATTTGATGGTTTGGATAAATGCACGAAGATTAAGAAATTACACATTTTGCTTGCTATTATTCTCCAAGGAAAGTTAGGATAACCCTTTCGGAAAAAAAAATCACTTTCTGCAAATGATTCCATATCCGGAAGACGCTCCACGAGTGCAATCCAACAGTGCGTATTTTTTGGTCTCCCATTTGACTGAGCCACTTAATCCAGTAAAAATGCAAGTTTTGTTGGAGTCAAACCAACGTCCCACATCGGAAGTTTAGTCAGAAAGTGTCTAATATATAAGTAGTGTCCAACTCCAACTAGTATGAGGCCTTTTGGGAAGGAGCCCAATAACAAATCCGTGCGGGCTTGAGCATGTATGCCCAAAGCGGACAATATCATACTAATAAGGGAGTTGGATTGGGCTTGGAAAGCCCAATAAATGGTATCAGAGCCTAGGTAAAAAAAAAAGTGGACCTAGGGGTGTGGGCTAAAGTTCGGTGTGGGAGAAGCCCTCAAATGTGACACGATAAGAAGTTGCCTCAAGAACTTCGCGAATAAGAAAGTGCCGAGTTAGGGTGCCAAGGTTTCGCTGAAGAGGAGGCCCAATGTTCGTGGTCCGTGGTTTGAAGGGGAGATTGTTGGGTACAAACCAACGTCCCACATCGGAAGTTTAGAAAAGAAGTTTCTAATATATAAGTAAAGTCCAACTCCAATTAGTATGAGGCCTTTTGGGAAGGAGTCCAAAAACAAATCCGTGCGGGCTTGGCCCAAAGCGGACAATATCATACTATTGGAGAATTAGAATTGGACTTGGACTTGGAAAATTCAACATGGTATCAGAGCCCAAGGTTAAGAATATGGTGGACCTTGAAAAAGTGGATGCGGACATACCTCAACCCGAGTAATGGGGGCCCGAGAAAGGGGCGTATTATCGATCCGAGTGAGGGATCGGTTCGAGATGGAGTTGTCATCTCGAAGAGGCGTGTTAAGATCCACATGTGGTTCATGGTTTGAAGGGGAGATTGTTGGAGTCAAACCAACGTCCCACATCGGAAGTTTAGTCAGAAAGTGTCTAATATATAAGTAGTGTCCAACTCCAACTAGTATGAGGCCTTTTGGGAAGGAGCCCAATAACAAATCCGTGCGGGCTTGAGCATGTATGCCCAAAGCGGACAATATCATACTAATAAGGGAGTTGGATTGGGCTTGGAAAGCCCAATAAGTTTTGCAGTCATGAGATAGTAAAGAAGATGTCCTAAAGTTATCTTCACCACCAACCACTGGCATTGCGACTCCAGGCTTAGCCGGGTTTTGGAAATCGGTCCTATAAGTGCGTCCCAAGATTCCAGCGCGTTTTGGGGATAAGTTGAAAAACCTGAACTGGACCTCGAGATGGGCAAAGCAGTTATCCAAAGGAACTTTGTAGCTGTGGATCATGTCGTCTTCTTTAGTCACGGGAACAACGTTGACCATGATCTCTGCTTTGTCTTTGATCGTTATGGTCACACTGTTCATCTTTCTCGCTCTCTCAATCTTGATGTCCTTTTCTAGCGAGTACCTTCTCAAAAGCACATGTGGTTGGTCCGTTGGTGTAGGTTTCAAGTAACAAACTCTCAACTAGTAAAAAGACTTTTCGAAAATTTTAAAGTATTTTTTTCGTATGTTAATGCAAACTTCAAAATTGGTTTCAATAAAACATGATATTTGGCTATTAATTACCATGTGGAGAGTGTTTCCTCAGGGATAACTAATTCTTGGCCGTTGAAAGAGAATCTGAGATGGTCGATGCCGCTGTCCCAAGTGGCGACTTTGGTGGCTTCCAGGGATAACTTATGAGAGTTGAAGAGGAAGCCAAGAGCTTGTATCCAAGTGAAGTCTCTAGAACGACCAACGGGTCTGTGGCCAGTGAACCTAGCATTGATCTGAAAGTCAGGGTCCGAGACAAGGCTAAAATGTTCATTGCTCTTTCCGTGGAAGTAGAACACAATCCCATCACCACCTATGAACCTCGGGTCGTGACAGGCCGATCCAGGTTTATAGCAGTTTGGACCCAATCCTAAGAGAACCATGTTAAAATGATGAAAAAAGGGACTGAGTTTGAGCTTTAGATATAAAAAAAGCTTAATACAAAAAGTTCAAAGTATTCCACTTACTGCGACACTCGGAGTTGCAGAGAGGTTTACTACAGTCTACGTAACAGACTCTGTTCATAGAGTTTGCAGCACCGGTGGTGGGACATTCTTGCGGACACAATATGTACTTTTGGAAGCATCGTTCATAAGGGTTGCTGCAGTAAACTCCTTGTGACTTGGCTCGCAAGAAACATAACGTGACCGCAAGAAAAATCAGCATTAGCAAAGAGGTCTTTAAGATCTTCATATCTAGTCTATTTTTCCTGTTTATTATGTGTTGATGGATATGAGAAGAAAATTGTTGATTGTGAATATATAGACGCCACTCTATGACTTCAAGTTGCAAGATGGGAGTTCCGGGTTTGTGTGCCTTATCTGGACATCACCCACACATGCATTAAGTTGAAATGTATATGACTTTACAAACTTGAGACTTCAAAAATAAATAAAAACGTCTTTAGAAATTAGAAGTTACGTCCACACGAGCGTGATCCACACTTATCGGTCCTTACTATATATATATATACGATATATTAATTAGGAGCATTGTATCTTGTTGAATTAAGCAGCTCATTTTATTAATTTGACTTTTGGAAACCTTAAAACAACAATTACATTGTATATCTTAATATCCGGATCTTAGGGTGTGATGCTTAACATCTTTTAATATCCTAATTAAGCTGGGTTTTGAAGTCAGTGTTCAAATAGAAGATAACCTTTTTATCAAATTACGCTAGGCTCTAAATGATTACTGCGTATATGAAACATAACGAATGGAACATACCAATAAGATAAAGGTTTTCTAATGGATTAATAGTTTGGTCCATGTAAATAACTGAGTTACAATTATTTTCTTTAGAATTTGGTTCTTAATTACCTTATAAAATCTGTTTTATTTTGACAAATATATAAAGTAACCTTGCACAAAACATAACAATATACTTTTATTATCTGTAATTCTTAGCAAATTGAGTTTGGATGGTAACTACTTCCTGCAGACGAGTCCGTACCCGGAAGATGCGCCACGGCTGCAATCTAACAATGTGTATGTACTTTTGAGCGTGACAGAGCCACTTGCGACGGCGGGATCTTCAGAGAACAAACAAGTTTTGCAATCATGAGAGAGCAGAGAAGATGTCCTGAAGTTATCGTCACCTCCCACTACTGGCATTGCGACTCCTGGTTTAGCCGGATTCTTGAAATCGGGTCTGTAAGTGCGTCCCAAGATTCCGTCGACTATTGGGGACAGATTAATGAACTTGAACTGGACCTCAAGATGAGCAAAACAGTCATCTACAGGTAATTTGTAGTTGTGGATTCTATCATCTTCTTTGGTCACCGGAACCACGTTGACCATGATCTCAGCTTTGTCTTTGATAGTCACGATCACACTGTTCTTTTGTGTCAACCTTTCAATCTTGATGTCTTTGCCGGATGAGTACCTGATAATATGAATGTGGTTCAAGAATTAAGATTAATAGATTGATGGTTTACATGGAAATCTAAACGAAAAGAAAAAAATGACGTTTTAAACAATCGCAACCTAAAAGACAAAAATGATAGGGTTAAATTTGAGATTTTAGAGTTACCAAGTGGATAGAGTTTCTTGAGGGATAACCAAATCTTGGCCATCGATAGTGAACTTGAGGTGATCAAGGTTGCTGTCCCAAGTGGCGACTTTGATGGTCTCAAGGGAAAATTTGTGGGAGTTGAAAAGGAAGCCGAGAGCTTGGATCCATGTAAAGTCTCTAGTGCGGCCAGCAGGTCTATGACCAGTGAACCTAGCATTGATCTGAAAGTCAGGGTCCGAGACAATACTAAAATGTTCATTGCTCTTTCCATGGAAGTAGAACACAATTCCATCACCGCCTATGAACCTCGGATCTAGACAGATTGATCCATAGGATTCACAGTTGGGTTTTACCGCTACAAATCAAAGATCATTTCCAAATCGTAAACATATTTTCAAAATCTAAAATCAATCAAAATGATGAATTCTATTAATTATAATTTTAAACTTTATTGGTTTACATATATGATCCATTAATAACAAAAAAAATAAATGGTGGTTAAATAATTACCGCGACACACGGCCATGCAAAGGGGTTTAAAGCAATCAACCCAACAAATTTTGTTCTGAAAGTTGGGGAACATTTCGGTTGGGCACTCTTCAGGACAGTCGATGTACCGGAGCTGGCATCGGGGAGCTGCATTGCCACCACAATAAGTCTGACCATGCCAAGCCTTGACATGCAAGAAACATGAAGCTACCACAATAATTATCATTAGCAATGGGGTTTTTGGGACCTCCATCCTCGATTTTTTTGGCCGAAGTGTGGAATCTATGTGGATAGAGAAGAAGATAGAAGATTGTATCGGCGATGAGTTTTCGATTGTGAATTTATATGGTGGTTAAAAGTCATATATCTTTCTTCGGAAGAGGGCTACGTACTCTTGCAGTTATTGTTAAGTGAGGTTTTCTTTTTGTAATAGTTGTTTCTTCAAAACAAAAACAAACAATATTGCTCAACTTTGTGCATCGTTTAGAATAATTTGTATCGAGATACACTTTAGCGCTCTACACGTATATGACGCCTGAATCAATGTGTATGTACGTATATAAATATATTTAAGCACTAGTTGTCTTATTAAGAAACTTATATGATTTATTAGTAGACTTAAGAAAAACCATTTTGATGCTGATCCACATCTCTCGGGACTAAATCTTTTTCCCGCCCCCATTTCCCTATGCTAATCATATATATAATGGAATTTCATATTCAGTTGATATTGCTCAACTTTTTTTTTGGATAATATATATTGCTCAACTTTGTAATTTTATAAAGAAATACATTCTTAGACAGTTTTAGTTAGAGAGAAGAAATGATTAGAAAGTTTTAGACAAACATTTTTAGATGTCTCGTGATTCAGTGACTTATCTAAAGCCGAAGTGGAACCTAAGAACAATCTTATTCGTTAGACTAATCAGAAACCATGACAATCTAGAAACACTATACACATGTTAACCAACATTGGTTGTATATGCGACTTTTAGAAACTTATGCGTTCTCAAAGCAAAAGTGAACATGTGTAATATATTATTACACTCGATCTTAATACATGTATAAAACCTCAATCGGATTTCGCACTCAATCGCATCAAACTATAATATAATGCAACTTGAATTTAAGTCCCTGAAATCGGAGTTCTCGAAGCTTGTAAAAGTTTTTCTAGTCTTCTTCATTCAAAAAAATGTTTTTCTAGTTAAACGTGCATTTCTCCAAAGTCAAAGGTACCTGAAATGCCAAACGATGCGTTTCAAGTAGGTGGGAAAAAAAAAATCGGTTGTTCCTGACATGCCCAAAACGACGCGTTTCAAGTAAAATAGGGAAAAATAATAAAAATGCGGTGAGCGTGGATCGAACACGCGACCTTCAGATCTTCAGTCTGACGCTCTCCCAACTGAGCTATCCCCGCGACGCAATAATTTCTATTACTGTTGTATATAACCTCAAAACCATCATTGTCCTGAAATATCATTTGTCGTTATAGTCGATCCTTCACAACTTCGAGCTTTGTGTCGGGAAAACCAAATTCAGACGATGGCTTCGATTCCGCAGATTATCCTTTGTAACTTCCCCATACACGATGGTTTCAACAAAGAACCCAAAAACAGATTACACGCTAAAGGACGGAGCTTGGGTCCTTCTCTGCTCCAAAACAAGTTGGGATTGAGAGCTTACTTGTTTGAGCATAGACAAAGACAGAGACGGCGAGTGATGGGTCTGGGAGATATTGGAATTTTAGCAAGTGATAAAGCTCTTAACCGGAGAAGACGGGTGGTTAGGGTTAGGGGTTTGAAGTTTAATGGTGGAGATAACAACGGAAATGGGAGGATTCTCGGAAACCTTGCTTTGGCTATTGGCTTGACTTATCTCTCTATGACTGGTCAGCTTGGTTGGATTTTGGACGCTATTGTCTCTGTCTGGGTATTGATTACTTTCTCCATCTTGCTAAAGTCTCAATCTTTTAATGTCTCTGGACTCTGGTTATCTAATTGTGCTGTCTTAGCTTTTTCGTGAACTGAAATTCTTGCAATTTGCAGCTTATTGTGGTGATTGTTCCAATTTTGGGTTTGGGAGCTTTTCTATGGTGGGCACAACGAGATATTGTCCAGAGCAATGTGAGTCTTCTTGTCTCTTTGGCTTAAGACATCATTTCAATAATTTGCAGAAACTCTCTTGACTATAAGCTAAGCTAGCACTTGTGTTTTTGAGTAAATCCTTCAAGAGTGTGTTCAACGTTGCTACTTTTTGCGCTTTTTCATCTCTCTCTTTACACTTGTGCAGTGTCCGAATTGTGGAAACGAGTTTCAGATATTCAAGTAAGGATATAACAAGAATCAATCCCTCTCAGTTGTTTTTGTTGTTTCGCCAAATCGAGCTGATTGCATATCGTTATCGATGCAGGTCAGCGATGGATGATGAAGTACAGCTTTGCCCTTTCTGCACTCAGCCATTCTCAGGTAAAAGATGATTCCTCCATTTTTCAATTTATCAAAGCACATCTCTTTTTCCAAGCATTTAGCATTGTGTTCTTTACCTTGGAAAATGCAGTGGTGGATGATAAGTTTGTTAAGGAACCAGTGAAATTCTCCAACCAAACTACTGCTTTTGGAGACTTAAATGGGTTTTCTTCTAAGCCTAAGAAAGGTTACTTACCCAAATTTCTGTTTTACTTCTGCGCATATCAAGTACCTATATCTCTTGTATATCCAATGGTGAGATGAAGTGTTTGATTGTGCAGGGAAAGGTTTCTCAACACCGGTCGTAGACATAGAAGCAGAAGTAACAGATGTAGACTGACAATGCGACCGGGAAGTTATAGTGCATATTAACCGAGCCAAGGAGATTTTGTAGAGACAACAAACTTGTGTAGAGAGCTCGTTGTTGGATATAGAAGTAATATAGAAATACACATCCATATGTATATATATGTCTTTGACATTGTTATCACACTGGGCGTTTGTTAAAAGAATACCAGTCTTGGTAAAGAATATATTTTACCATCTGATCAATCCATAAACATTTATAATTTCTCTAGGTCGACAACTTGAGAAGATTACAAAATTGCAAAACCTCTTTTCTAAAAGAAAGCATAAACGTTAGTAAGACCAAAATAGACAAACGAACTATCAAAAATTTCTATCTTCTTTCTTTCCCTGTAGCTTTTTAACCAAAATCACTCGTACAATTTCTTGGCCGCAAGAGTTCTGAGAGTTTTGGTTTTGTCCTTTGTAGCTTTCTCATCATACTTCTCGCTCAACGCTATAGCTTTAGCCACGGCTTTCATCTTCCTTGCATTCTTCGTTCTCTTCATGCTTGTCCTAAAGAAAACAGGAAATGTCCTCCGGATTAAAGGAAAGTAAAGAGTAAGAAGGTCCAAAGAAAACATAAACACAAGCCAGAAAGCAGCTTGTTCTCTGAACAAAATGGTATGCATATGTGGTAAAACTATCAAATATAATCATTTCTTGGCTTAGCACATTACACTTGAGGAACATAACAAAACGATAAACTAGTTTACAAGCAAAATTTATCCAAGATTCTCTCATTCTTGCATAATGTCTCCTAAGTGTTATGACAGTAGCAAACTAAATGACTCCAGGTCCAACCTCAAAGGACCAGAACAGAGCAATTCCCAATAGAAACTTTTAACCAACCTGAGACTTATATAATATAAATCCAACTAGTTCACAAATCTTCCCATGAGTATCTTAAGTCCATAACTGGCCAAAAGTACGAATCAAATGGCCTAATCAAAGATACTTTAGATCTAAGTTAAAATTAACGAAGCTAAAGCCAGTCTCAAAACAATTGTTCGGTAGAAGAATATGGAGTTGTCAAAAGGCTTACGGGTTACGAGCTAGAGTAGCTAGTTTCACGTCTCCGGTTTCTGTAGTGTCCATGGCTAACGAAATCATAGAAGAAAAATCAAAGAGTAAACACCTGAATCTCAACCCAGAGAATCTTAAGAAGACGAAGAAACGAGTATGGACCAAAACGTAATAAAAGAATACGCTATTGTACTACCTACAGCCATGGCTTTCATATTGCTTGCATTCTTCGTTCTCTTCATCGGTTTTCCTTTCCTCGCGCTTATCCTACAAAGAAAACAGGAAATATCATCAGAATTAAAGGAAAGCACAAAGTAAGGAGATCCCAAAAAAACCATCAATAAACAAAAGTCAAAATGTAGCTTGTTCTCCGATCAAAATGGCAAAATATATGTTCTAAAGATACCAAAGTTAAGCATTCGCTGCCTTAGTACACATTAAGGTAAGTAAATGATAAACCAGTTTACAAGAGAAACTATTCTCTCATTCAATTTGGTAAGTGCTAGAACAAATGTGAAAACTTGAACTTGTAAACCATTACAGTAATATGACAATGGCAACCTCATAGGACAAAAACAGAGCAATTCACAATGGACAGTTGGAAACTTGAGACCAAAATTAACAGCTTCAATGCAATGATTATGGAGAAGAAAACAGAGTTTCGACGAGGCTTACGAGCTACGAGCACGAGCAGCTAGTTTCGCGTCTCCGGTCTCCGTAGTGTCCATGGCTAACCAAAAATCAAACAAGAATCTTAAGAAGATGAAGAAACAAGTATGTACCAAACCATAACGCCACTTTACTACCTTGAGGAGCAGCTTCGGAGACGCTCTGAGATTCAGAAACGTCCATGGAAACGTCGTCATCTCTATTCTTCTTGTTCCTTTTCTTCGTCATTGCTGATTTCGGCTTGACGCTAGGGCAGACGCACGACGGCACGAAGCAAAAGCAAAGAGAGTAGAGAGACGGAAACAATCGAATTTTTAGAATTTCACCTAATGCCGTCGTGTCGGGTCAATTTATTTATTTCGGGTCTACTTATTGGGCCAATAGTTTTGGTATAAGGCCCATTTATCCACTTTAATGGATAATAAGTTAATTAATAACTAACAGATGATGATCGATCTTTTTTTTTGCCAAACAGATTATTAGAGTGTATATAGTTGGTTTAGTTATGGTTTAGATTGGTTAGTATCTTTGGCTTAGTTTACTTTGTATTTAAGCTTAATCATGTACCACATTTATGTTTAATGAAGATTATCACAATTATTGAAATGGTATCAGAGCATTTTTTTCTTCAAGCTTTTCTTCTTCAAGCTTCATTCTTCTTCCGCAAAATCAAATCATCAAATCATCCTCCATCTTTCGTTTGTTTCTCTTGAATCCATCATCTTCTTCTTCTCCGATTCATTATCGTCGTTTTCATCGGAGATTTTCTTTCTTCTTCGTTTTCTTGCTTTTCCGATTGCGTTTCATTCCAATCGCGTAACCTCATTTTTTCAGCTGAATCCAGCTCCGTTTTTTTTTTTTTTTTCTTCTTCTTCCGATCGCGTTACATTCCGATCGAGTTCTTTCTTCTTCTCCGGCTTGATTCGAGCTTCAATTTCATCGATCAAGCTTGGTTTTCATCAAATCGATTGTTGTAATTGCTTCTTTGAAGCTTGATTTTCTTCTGATTCATTGTTGATTCAAGAATTCGTAGTGATTTTCCACTTCGCGATCCATTTCTATAGTTGCTTCGAGCTTCTTCTTCTGGTTTCATGATTTGCCAGGAGATCACTTCATCGGAGTCTTGTGAGAAGTCTGTTGGTTTTAATTCTCCTCGCATTGCTTCAGGTGTTCATAGATCGTGCTTAATTTTGCCGATCTTGGTCAATTTGTTCGGTTATTTTGCCGAATTTTGCTTGGATCGAGTTTTCCAAGTTTCAACTCACGGTTGTTTCGCCGATCTGCTAGGAGATCTTCCATTCGTGAAGATATTTCTCCGTTTTGTATCAGCTCTTCCGTTGAGTTTGGTTTTTGCAATTCGAGTTGCTTCAAGTGTTGTTTCGGTTTATCACGATGTGTTGATATCGATTGAGCTTGATCTGTGATTGCTATTGTGATGGATTTATATTCATCGTTTGCTGGTTTTGATGAGCTTATTGCTCCACCAGTAGAGATTATTATCGATGATAATCTACTAGGTGAACATCCATGGTTGAAATTGATGATCGAGTCGGTGTTCCTATACGGATCTCTTCCACGGCCACCAGATCTACAATCTCCTATGGGGGAGTTTTCACCTTCATATCCAATCTGCAAACTTCTGAACTCTTCCACTAAGGATACAAAATCGAGGACGTTTACATTGCACAACTTAGTCTTCCTTGTGCTGTTGCAACAGAGTTTTCATCCACTCTCGTTACAAAGACAGAGTCAAGACTATGATTTTATTCGACAGACCATTGTGATTCATTCCGGTTGGTTTGGATCCCTACTTGAGTTCCTTTATGGCTCATTACCAAGACCACCTGACGTTCTTTACGTTTTCAGTCCAAAGCCTACAATTCTCATGGTTGTTCAAGTCCAAGATGAAAGTTCCTTGATACTTTCATCTTGAGGGGGAGTATTAGAGTGTACATAGATCCGGTTTAGTTATGGTTTATAGGATCTTGTTTGGTTTAGTTAGCATAGTGGTTAATCTTTATTATCTTCACTTGTATTTAAGCTTTCTCTTGTACATCTTTTACAATTGAATGAAGCATAATCATAATTGAAGAGAAAGTTTGTTAGATCTGAAATGAACACGATCAAATCTGATCGGAAACAGAAATAGATGAAAGGAAAATAACAACCGGAATCGAAACAAGATCAAGATTTCGCCGGTGAAGAAACACAATCGATTTTGATGAATCGACTGGATATAGAACAAATTGAATACTTCGATCGGAGGAAAAAACAGATCGAAGATCAAAATAGAAGAAACAAATCGGAGAACACGATGGATTGATCGGAAAAATCAACCAATCGGAAAAAACAAACGATCAATCGAAACGAAATTGATCGGAGAATCATAATCTCCAAGAAAATCGAGTGAAGAATCGAAAAAAAAAAAACAACAAAGAATCAGAGAATCGAATTAAGCGGAAGAAGTGAATGAAGATTGGGGAACCTGGCTCTGATACCATTTCAATAATTGTGATAATCTTCATTAAACATAAATGTGGTACATGATTAAGCTTAAATACAAAGTAAACTAAGCCAAAGATACTAACCAATCTAAACCATAACTAAACCAACTATATACACTCTAATACAGATGATGATCGATCATCAATTCATCATCTACCTAATGTAAAATTAGAGAGTTTCCAGTGTCTCTGTATTTTCAAATTCTCTCTCTAATATTCCGTTGGAATGGCTTGTCGTTGGCAAAATTCAGTTTCTTTATTTAAGGTTTGTTGTTGTTGTTTTTCAGTTTTGCTATTTTTTTCCCTTGTTGATTTTTTCTTTGAATTTCTAGTTACAATGTTGAGAGATTATTGTTGAAATTTTTTCAGATTTTCTGGTTTCGACATTCTTCTGCCGGCTTTGTTTCCCAGAATCCACTACATGATTTGAGAAATTAGGATTTATGGAACTCACATTGCGCGAAAATAGGCGTTGATTTAAGCCTTTTCGACAAAAAAGTTTGAATTTTTGTTGGTGGGTGGATTTTGTGGTTTATTGGCGTCTCCGACTACAATGATGAAAAGTTCAGTGAAGGAAATTTTGGAGTCTCTTCGCCAGCTTGATGCAAGCGAGAGGTTTAAGGAGAAATCGTCGTCGCTTCCCTCTCCGTCTACTTTCAGGGCTCCAATGCCGTTGATTCGTCAATCTCTTCCGGCGAAGTTTCGTAATGCGATTTCGCCGGAAAGAGAAACCATAGAGAAAGAAGAAAAGGATTGGAGCATTGAGCAGATCACACAGTCGCCATACACGGCAGAGAAGGAGAAAACTGAAAATGAAGTTGTGAATATTAGTACTGCTCAGATGAGTCCAGGGAAGAACTCGCATGATCCTGAATGGATCAATAACGCTGAGTATTTCATCAGAGAGGTAAATGATTACTTTTTTCTTGTAGTTTTTCTTTTTACTTCTTCATTCGTCATTGAGGCAGTGACATGTTATGGTTCATTCTTGTTTTAAACTAAAGTACTAGTTTTTTAGTTTCACATTGATTCTATTTTTATGGTGTCAGAAACTTTGTGTTTGGTGCCGGGTTGCTAATGGGCAGTGGCACTTGGGGAAGATACATTCTACTTCTAGTGATGATGTGTGTGTTATGTTATCCACTAACGACGATGTAAGTTCTTTGAGATTGTTGAAATTTCATTTCATATGGAAAGGGCCTTATGGTGAAATTTTGTGTTATCATCTAAGGTTGTGAAAGTACCAATGGAGGAGATTTTCCCTGCTAACCCAGAGATTTTGGAAGGAGTTGAAGACCTTACACAGCTTAGTTATTTGAATGAACCATCTCTTCTTTATAACCTCCGGGTCAGATACTCACAAGACTTGATTTATGTAAGTTAAAACATTCTGGTTTGTTTGGTTATATGACATTTTACCAGAGGTTTTTTAACATAATTTAATGTTTCTCTGCTATAGAGTAAAGCAGGGCCAGTTTTGATTGCAGTAAATCCGTTTAAGAATGTCCAGATCTATGGAGAAGAGTTTCTATCAGCTTATCAGACGAAGGGTTTGGATGCTCCTCATGTTTATGCAGTGGCAGATGCAGCTTATGATGAGATGATGAGAGGTGAATGGAAGCATTTTCTTTCTCACTCTTTGGATCTTCGTGAAGGCTGTGAAAGTTTTTTCGTTTCAATGGTGTTGAGATAGTTATTGTATGCATTTACATTTTTGTATTTTTCTTTATGCAGAGGAGAAGAACCAATCTATTATCATAAGGTACGAGGCTTTCTATTCCGAATGCTTTTTGTGCACAAAAAAAAAAGCATGATTTGACTGTGCATATGTGGAGGTGATTTCTGATATTAATATCAATAATCAAATGAACAAAATATTATGTCATAGTGGAGAAAGTGGAGCTGGGAAAACTGAGACAGCAAAATATGCAATGCAGTACTTGGAAGCTCTTGGTGGAGGTAGCTTTGGGGTGGAAAATGAAATCCTAAAGACAAATTGTATTCTTGAAGCTTTTGGGAATGCTAAAACATCAAGAAATGATAACTCTAGCCGATTCGTGAGTAATTGTACATCCTTGTTTTCTTCAAATTTTCGCATGAATGGTAAATTGAGTAGTTGTTTGGATTCAATGGTAAATCTGAATTGGTGCAGGGAAAACTGATGGAGATTCATTTTAGTGCAAAGGGAAAGATATGCGGAGCTAAACTTGAAACTTGTAAGATTTGAACATTTGTATGATTGTTTGTCATATTTGCTTGACTATGGATCTCACGTCTTGCTTTTCTTTTCTCACCATGTTTGTGTGACTATAATGACCATAGTTCTACTAGAAAAGGTAAATTTTCTGTTGAGAAGCTTTATAGCCAGATTCCACTCGTTAGCTATTCATGGGCTGATTAGTAGTCTCTTTAAACCAGTCAAGAGTGGCTCAGCTGTGCAATGGCGAGAGATCCTACCATATCTTTTATCAATTGTGTGCAGGAGCTTCACCAATTCTTAAAGGTAACATTTGAAACCGAAATATCTAAGAACTAATTCAGGAATTTTTCAGCTACATATGAGATTATTTGGAAATATCCCTGCTGAAGTGAAGCGTAAACATATATAATTTACTGATTACCTTACTTGCTCAAGGCTGAGAGTAGCTCGAAGCTGCTAGACCATTTATTATATAATTTTGTTTGCAGAGAGATTGAAGCTTAAAGCAGCAAGTGAATACAATTATTTGAACCAGAGCAATTGCTTAATCATTGATCGCACTGATGATGCTCAGAAATTTCACAAACTGATGGTACTTTTATTCTATTTCCAGTGCCTCCCTCTGTTTTCCATGGAACAGATGCTAGATTTTTGAAATTTGTTATTTTGTAAAAGATTTCTCTGTTGTTACAGGAAGCTTTCAACATTGTTCAAATTCCTCAAGAATACCAAGAACGTGCATTTGCTCTGCTTGCAGCTGTGTTATGGCTAGGAAATGTGTCTTTTAAAGTGACTGACAATGAAAACCATGTCGAAGTGGTAGCAGATGAAGGTAGAGTTTATCGTCTGTCATTAATCATTTGAATCAGTGGATGGTTGTGAATTTACTAGGACTAAATACGGTGATGCTTATTATTTTGCTATTGTTTCTTACAGCTGTCACTAATGTAGCTATGTTAATGGGCTGCAACTCAAAAGAGCTTATGGTGGTTTTGTCTACATGCAAGCTCCAAGCTGGTAGAGATTGCATTGCTAAAAGACTGACACTGCGACAGGTTTGTTTAATTTCTTTACAAGCACTGCAATATATTACACTACACTTATAATTTCTGTATAGCTAAAGGTAATGTGCGGATTACTTTGATATCTATTCAGGCAACTGATATGAGGGATTCCCTGGCGAAAATCATCTATGCGAGCCTATTCAACTGGCTTGTTGAGCAAATAAACATTTCACTGGAAGTTGGTAACTCACGTACAGGAAGATCTATTAGTATCCTTGATATATATGGGTTTGAGTCATTTGAGGTTCGTAATCGTGCTCGAGGATTTGTAGTCTCTATTTCTTTTGACTGTGTAATAACCAGGTCTCCATGGTTTTAGAATAATAGTTTCGAACAATTTTGCATAAACTTTGCAAATGAAAGACTGCAGCAACATTTCAACCGACATCTATTTAAACTTGAACAAGAGGTGATCTGCTTTCTCTTGAGCCTCATTATATGAAGATGTGTAATTCTACTTCTGGTCAACTACACTTATCAATTAAATGTGTATTGTTTATGAATGAAAGTATCTTCGCTGTTTAGGAATATGAAGGGGATGGAATTGATTGGACTAAGGTCGAATTCAAAGACAATCAAGAGTGTTTAAATCTGATCGAGAAGGTAATTTGTACTGTGTCATCTTTCCTCCTTATGGAAAGGGATGGTATATTTCTTTGCTCTAAGCTATGAAATTAAGGTTATTCCTTACACATATGGTTTCTTTTGCAGAAACCCATTGGTTTGGTATCACTATTAGATGAGGAATCAAATTTTCCGAAGGCGACTGATACGACTTTTGCCAACAAGCTCAAGCAGCATTTGAATGCTAACTCTTGTTTCAAGGGAGAGAGAGGTCCGGGTTTCAGAATTAAGCATTATGCCGGAGAGGTCAGTTGTTACCCCAAATCTAACAACGTATCTGCATATTGAATAGTTGTAATGTGATATTGTATCTGTGAAATTATTAAGGTGCAAGAAAATGAACAAATATCCTCATTGGGTACTTAAGAGAGTTTTTTTACATTATGGTGTTTAATAGGTTCTCTATAATACAAATGGCTTCCTGGATAAGAACAGAGATCCGCTGCATGTTGATCTTATCCAACTTTTATCATCATGCAAATGTCAATTATTGAACCTGTTTTCTACTAAGATGCGTCACGAGTTTCTAAAGCCGGCAACCTTTTCGGACTCCATGAATCAAAGTGTGATTACAAAGTTTAAGGTTACAAGGCTTGAATTCTGCAGTTTTCCTTTAGTAAAGCTTTCCGATAAGAATCTCTTTTATAATTATATTGATAATGGAATATGGATGGAGCATCGGTATATGTACTCACTTTATGCTTACAGGGCCAACTTTTCAAGTTGATGAACAAGTTAGACGACACCACTCCTCATTTTATTCGATGCATAAAGCCAAATTCAAATCAGCTTCCTGGACTTTACGAAGAGAATCATGTTCTACAACAGCTTAGATGTTGTGGCGTTTTGGAAATTGTTAGAATATCAAGATCAGGATATCCTACTCGGTTGACACATCAAGAGCTTGCAGTAAGGTTTGGTCTCTCAACTTTACCGATGCACTTTGTTGATATATCTATTGTTCCAAATTCCCATGTCTTCATATGCTTTTGTCATTGTTGGCTTGTTCATGGATTAGATATGGATGCCTACTGCTGGACACAAGAATCTCCCAGGATCCGCTTAGCACATCAAATGCTATTTTGAAACAATGCAATCTTCCTCCTGAGATGTATCAAGTTGGTTATACGAAAATATACCTCCGAACTGGACTAGTAAGTTTTCTTTATTTGTAGATATTATGTTGGTATCCATCTACAATTATAACGCCTTCATCTTTATATTTGATAGATTGGCGTCCTTGAGGAAAGAAGAAATTATGTTTTGCGTGGCATACTTGGATTACAGAAGCAATTTCGTGGTTATCAGACTCGTGAATGCTTTCACAATATGAGGAATGCTGCAGTGATACTTCAGTCATGTAATCACTGACATATTTCTCATGATTTCTTTATATAATATTTCTACGGTATATGCATATCGTTCTTATTTATTTGTTGCTACAGATATCCGCGGAGAAAATGCCAGGAGAAACTACATTGTGGTAGAAGAATCAGCTATTGCTTCAACAGCAATAACTGAAGAGCTTGATGCAGCTATACACTTGCAATATAGTAAATAACGTTTTCTTTCCTATGGCATCAAGAATTAGTTTTTCTATCTTGGATACAATTTTACAGCTCTTCTCCTTACATGTAGTGGTACGTAAATGGCTGGCTCGTAAACACTTAAATAGTATGCAACAGAAGAAAAAACCACGCCATGAGAAGAAAAAACAGAGACGAAAGTCAACGAGGAGGGTTTCCGAAGACAAGGTAGTATTTTTTCCTGATTTATGTGTCTCTTAGTTAACCGCTGCTGAAACTTGTTATGTTTCTTGTTTAGGACCTTCTTTCAGAGCAGTTTCAGGTCGAACCTTGTGTTCTTGCTGATCTCCAGAGCCGGGTTCAGAAAGTCGAAGCAGCTATAATGCAGAAGGAAGATGAAAACACTGCATTGCAGGAGGAGTTGCAACGATTTGAGGAAAGATGGTTAGAGAACGAAACAAGAATGAAGTTAATGGAGGAAACATGGCAAAAGCATATGTCGTCAATGCAGGTAAGTGACTCCACGCATGCTTATGATTTGTTCTGGCCAAAACCTTAAAAAGATTATGATGTTCAAAATCCCCTTGCAGATAAGTCTCGCAGCTGCCTGTAAGATTCTGGCTACAGACAAGACTGCAAGTCACGGTAATGACTCAGAGGACACAATGTCCTTTGGAACCCCCACGAAAGAGCTTAAGCGCAGCTTGAGTGACGTTAATAATCTTTCTACAGAATTTGATCAACGGAGTGTCATAATTCACGAAGATACGAAAAGTCTTGTCGAGGTGAATTCACAGAGCTCAAGCAGGAAGCAGCGCGCAGAAGAACTCAGGAGACTAAAGTTAAGATTTGAGAAATGGAAGAAAGATTACAAAGCAAGACTAAGAGAGACAAAGGCACGAATCCGGTTAAATGGTGATGAAGGTCGTCATCGGAATTGGTGGTGCAAGAAAAGTTGTTGAAACTTAGATCTTGGTCTCATCATGTACCGAAAATTAATATTAGTTTTAGGATGTTTAACCATGTAAACTCCACATTAATCAAACTAACCGAGAGACAAGAGTAGTTACAAGCTAACCGGATGGTAAGGCAAAAGCTAACATTGATCTATAACAACCTGGTTCTACACACAATATAGCAAAACATGAGATAAAAGTTTTTGATCTTTAGACCTTTTTGTCTATGTAACGACGGTCTAGCTAATTTTTGAAAGCAGTGTTTTCTTGTTATTGAAGACATCCATAACAAGAATCATGATTGATATTACAGTGAAAGAACTTGAATCGGACTCGATTTAACACTACATCAATCGAAAAGGACTTGATTATTTTACAATACTGTCTAAATTAGCTAGACCGTCGGTCCGGGGCGCCGGTTCACCTACTGATCCCTTAAAAAGCAAAATGGTAAGGCTGCCAACTGAGAAATGGATGAAGCAGCCACTGCAATGAGTCACGAAAGATCCAAAATGCGTCCCGACGATGCACTGCCACCCCGATCCGTAACTACTATCAAATTCCTGAAATTTTCCAAAAGATTTGAATTTCAGTGACATGGAACTCTAGTTATGGAGTTTGTTATAACACCCAAAAAATCTTATTTCATTTCATTATGTATGTACAGTCTAGAGGTAGATTACATGTCTAATCAGGATTAATACTCTTATTAACACTTAAAATAGTTGATCTATGAACCTTCTTGATGAAACGAGCGATTTGGGTGGGTTCGGTGACATCAAAGCAATCAAGGGCTTTGGAGGCCAAACTAAGAGCATCTTCCTTCATTGTTTGCTTCATATCTGTCTCACCCATTACTGCTTTCCCTTCTAACATCTTTTTGTTTTAGAATATGATTATTAAACTCTCGAGGAAATATATAAGAGAAACCAAAGTTAGCTTATGCAATGTATATAGTATGCGACTATGTGTATATATACGGAAAAATGATGGGATGATGTGTGTGTGAGAGTGAAGCTCCTAGATAGTGGTGGAGATTATATGTTGGAAGTTACTTGAAGTGTTTTTTGGCTTGTCGTTGATTTATCAGCCACATGGATTTGCATGGACCGTTTCCGTATGTGGTCAAAACCAACTCGATTTCAGTCATTTATATATGATCATAAAGTGGTTGTTTGCTACTTTGCCATCATTTTAAGAAATTTACGTTAGTCTTCGTCCAAGACAATTTAGTGTTCTTTTTTGGTTAAAAATACAATTTAGTCTTCATTTTTTTTTGTTAAAGATACAATTAAGTCTTCATCAGCTACTCTTTTCTTTCCCCATATTCCATCAGCAATTTTTTATTTCAAATTGTTAAATTAACATATGTATTCATTCTCTTGTTATTTTTTTAAAAAAGATGTTTGAGGTCGGCAAGTAAATCTTTCCTTTTCTTTTTCGACAGGAAGAGAATATTTGTTTTTTTTTTTCTCTTTTAACGAAAACAAAAAATTTCGCTGGCCGAACTCGAACAACTATTCGCTTGTCTTTCCCGACGTGTCACCGACCCGTATGACAAGGATAAAGCCCCAAATTAATTTAATTTAATTAATTTTTATTTAGTTAGATAAATAAATTTACAGCTTTTGCCACCAATAAGGAAAAAGATAAATAAATACTTTTGTTTAAAAAAGGAAAAAATATAATTTTCCTTATTAAAAAAAAAATATAAGACACTTTGCCGCGTTCTTCTCGTCGCCGCTCGACGTGTTAATCAATCTTCTTCCTCGTGAAGATCTCTCTCTGAAAGACATTCTCAAATTTTCTCGGGAAAACATTTTTTCTTGATTCGTTTATCTCCAGATCTTTCCTTCTTTCTTATATCCGATTTCTTCGGGAGGAGGCGAAGAGACGGTCACAGTTTTATCCAATGGCGCGCCGTCTTTTCGCCTGTTTCGGCCTCAAGAAATCTTCAACTAAACCTATCTCCGGAGGTAACAATTCCGCCGCCGTCTCCGCAGATATTCCCGCCGGAGACGGACCTGTTCTCGTCCAGCTATTCTCGTCTCAGGGATGTAAAACATCGCCGGCGGCGGAGATGTTGATGTCCCGGCTAGGTCGAGGTGATTTCGATGCTCAGATCCGTGGAGAAGATGGTGGATCTGGATCTCCGGCGATGGTTTTGGTGTTTCATGTGGATTATTGGGATTACAAAGGGTGGAAAGATCCGTATGGATCGAGCCAGTGGACGGTGAGGCAGAAGGCGTATGTAGAGGCGTTGAATCTGGATACGATGTTTACTCCGCAGCTTGTAGTTCAAGGCCGTTCTCAATTGATCGGAAACGAGGAAGAGACGCTGTTAAAATCTATCTCCGAAGCGCCTAGGTTTCCTTCTCCAGCGTTCAGGGTGAGTTTTCTTAACATTGTAGATGATTGTGATGATGATCTTGATGTGGAGGAATTAGATTTATGATAGATTTCAGCTCTTGTTTATGTGATTTCAATCTAAGTGTATAGGAATCCAAGTGAATCTAACATCAGTTAGGAATTTTGCTTCTTGCCTGCAGATTCAAGAACATGTTCTTGTATCTGATTCTGTGTTAGAACAATGTGTTCTATGAATATGATTTGCAGTATCGCTTGCCTGTGAGTCTTGTGAATGTTTAGTATATAGTAAATGGAAGAGTTCTCTTTAGATACAGGGCTATAGTCAGGTCGCTGAGGGTCTTTCTCTGTCTCAACATAATCATTAGGCATTTATGAGTACATTGCTTTTGAAGGGGTTTTGTCTCTGCTAATAGAATGGTCAATGTGGTTGCTTTCTAGATAGTTATAGGTATATGACAGGGAAGGTAGGTTTATGAATGCAGCAAGCTTCTGTGGCATTAGAATTAGCTACTTTTGGTGAATATTGACTAAACAACATCTATGAGATATTTTGGTTCAACGACATGTTCGTGTTGATTGTGTGTCATAGGATTAGCTACATAACTAAACATTATTTCAACCATGAATTATCTGGTCTTGACATAACAGAACAATGTGGCTCACTCTGCTTTCATTGGCTTTGTCACTCTTTACATAAGTTTTTTTTTGTCGAACTTTTCACATGTAATATTAATCAGTAATTGTATCATGATTTGTTTCTCTCTTTACTAGGCGACTTTCCAGAGACCAACCTCAGAGACACTGCAAGTATCACTCACCGGAGCTTTGAGAATGAAAGTAGATGGAAACGGAATGGACATAATGGTGGCGATATACGAAACCGGGCTTGTGAACGACTGCGAGAGAGGAGAGAACGAAGGAAGAATGTTGTCGAATGACTACGTTGTGAGAAAGATGGAAAAGATGTGCACTGTGAAAGATGTAACACCGAAGAAACCAGTCTCGGGAACTGCTCATTTTACGCTCTGGGATGGATTCAACAGCAGCAAATGTGGAGTCGCCGTCTTTCTTCAGAATTCGTCTCTTCAGATTTTTGGTACACAAAGTTTCAAGTTACCTGATGAGATTTGAATTAATTCCCTAATATCTGAAAAATAAAGAAAAGAAAAACGATCTTTGTATCGTCCATATTTTGCTTGTGATAATCATCCGGTTTCCACTCTGCTTTGTACAGTTATATGTGTGACTACTTATAGGGTTTAAGGTTTCTTCTAATTTGTTTTTATTTCAACTTATATTATGATCTAACCCTTCTCTTCTCATGCTAATTCATTTGATTTCTTTTTTAGTTAAATCATTATGTCATTGTTCCATTCCACGAATGTTGGTCCTGATAAATGTTGGGATGGACGAAACAGTCTAGGTGACTAGGTGTTTATATAATCCTTAAACCCTTTTTATTCTCATCCCAGGAATAGAGAAGAGACAATGGTGAATTGGTGATGAATGATATAGACAAAATAATCATGTCACTACATATACTTGTGTATTCAAAATATAAATAAAAGAGATGAAACATTATGAATATCTACTAAAACTAGCATTTTAACAGTTCATGGTTATTATGCGAAAGCTCTATTCAACTCAAATGTCAACATCTTAAGAAGTCTCCTTTAGTTTCCTCGTCTATATATGTCGCTCAGCACTTCAACGACGACGTTCTAGTTTTAATTTTCGTGTTGCTGCTTGCCGCTGGAAAAAAAATGACCAACTACAAAAAAAATGGAAAAAACAAGAAAAAGGGAAGATCTTTGAGAGGACTTTATCCCCGAGTGATGTCAACTCAAACCAGAGCCGTCTCTTAATCCCTTTCAATATGCTAACCAGAAACGACTTCTTGACACCTTCTGAGTCTCAAGCCATGGAGAGAGAAGACATCGAGGAAGAGAACATTGGTGTGGGAACGATTCTGGTGAATGAAAAGTCTAAAATGTGGGGTTTGCGTTTTAAGATATGGGTGATGGAGAAGAAGAAGTCTGGAAACGGAACCTTGAACTACGCTTTGAATTGGGGGTGGAACGATGTCGTCAAGGGTAATAATTTGAAAGATGGTCATGAGATCAGTCTTTGGAGTTTCAGGTGCCGTGGAGTCCTATGCTTTGCCCTTGAACACAGAGTTCCCTGTTCCAAAGGATTCGCTGCCTTGATGGAATCATGAGTAGCCGAAATGGAAATACAAGATCTTACTCTCATGTGATTCTGGATGTTTTTTGGTCTAGTAACTTGTTGCAAGTGTTAGTTATCAAACTTAGGGTCTTACTTTTTTTTTTTTGACGGCACTTAGGGTCTTACTTGCAAATGTGGTTTTTACACGTTTGTTGGTGTTTTGGTTTTCATTCACTTGTCTTCTGTTGTTTCACATCATATATATGAAAACTGAACATTTTGACATGAATCTGGTAACTGCATTTGATCAATTAATTACCTTTGATTTCTTGAAAATTTATCTGACCAATGCCTAAAACCTGTGATGAAATTTGATCCAATCCTGGCAAGTGTTTTGGTAACTTTGTTTGAGTGTACAATACATTATGAACTTCATTTGAATTCTCCAATAACGACATCGTTTTAACACTCTTAGTTTTGCCGCTTAACTACTCAAACGACGACGTTTTACAATTTTGGGATAATTTCAGGAATTTTTTTTTTTTTTAAATAAATCTGAAAGCAGTGATATCTTCTTCTTGCAGATGCATCTCTTCTTCTCCCTAAAACCTTTAGTGCACAAACGCGGGAAATGACCTTCATTGTCCTAACACCAAAACCCAAATCTATCAGGAAGCTGAGTGAATCAGAAAATGGTGTCAAAGCTTTCTCTTTTCCGAGCCAATTCACTTCCTTTCCCTGTCTTCTCTTCATACTCAGCTCTTTTTATTCATAAACCCTATCCCAAACCTAAAACCCTTATCTTTTGCGTCTTCTCCAATAATCTCTCCTCCACCACCGTTCCGTATGGTCCGTCTCTTCTGAAAGGTAAGAAGCCTTTGGTAGATGATCTTAGATTGACTTCAATTGGTCGAGACAGAGATGCCCATCGAGGCAAAATTGGAGATTTGGAAGAATCAATTGAGAAAGGTGGTCTTTTGAATGAAGATGAATTTACTAGGGTTTTCGAGATTTCGGCGATTCGGGTCCCGGCTAAGGACTGTTTCGCACTCGAGAATCGTCTCCGTGGTCATCTTCTTAATTGGCCTAGGATTCGGAACATTGCTAGGGTTCCTGGAGATGAAATTGAAGAAGATGTGGTGAAGCTGTTGGGCCGTGAGACTGAAGATGAAGAAGAAGATAGTATTGTGGATTCGGTTGATCGGAGAATAAGAGGGAAAGCAGAAGGAGATGGGGAGAGATTGAGTTCAGTGTTGCATAGAGATAAACTCGCAAGGACATTTAATTCAACTGGCTATCTCAAATTCAGAAACTTGGCCAAGATTTCTCGGCCAAAGAGGAAGAGGAAGACAGAGAAAGCAACGGAGAGGAAGGAAAAGGAAAATGGAAGCAGACGCAACGAAATGGCGGTGGTGGAAGTGGTGGAAGATGGAGGAGGAGCTGAGGATTTTGAGGGGTTACTTGGAGAAGGCTATGGTAGTAGAGGAAGATGGAGAGGTTCAACAAGATTGTTGCTTTTGGATGAGAAATATTCCGGTGAGCAAGTTCAAGACTTGCCTGAGGCTATCAAGGTTATAAATCTTCTTTAAATCCACTTCTATGGTTTGATCCAGTAGTTTATGTTGTGTTGTTGGAGAATTTAATGGTTTTTGTTTGGTAGGTTCTGTTTGCAGAAGCTAAAATGACCGATGTGAGCTTAAGTTTTGAGCTAGTGAAATGCAGAGTGACTTTGTTCTATGACTATTGGCCAATGATTGAGGTAAATGATGAGACTTTCAAGCTGACTTTATTATTTCTCGAAGATCAGATCGAGTTGGTTTGCTTCAAAGTTTGTGTTGTTGTAGATATTGGAGGCTGTGCTTCCTAAGGGTATGATTGTGCCTTCAGCATTTGAGATGGTGGGGCATATTGCACATCTGAATCTAAGAGATGAGCATCTACCATACAAAAGGCTCATCGCTAAGGTAATTTGATAGTGGATATTGCTCAAGTCTGAAACCAAATTTCCCCAGCTTCAGAAATTGAAGTCTAATGAGCTGAGTTATTACTTTCTGTTTCTTTTCAGGTAGTCCTGGACAAGAATCAGCCAAAGATACAAACCGTTGTGAATAAGATTGATCCTATCCACAATGACTTCAGAACTATGCAGCTAGAGGTTTTAGCTGGAAACCATTCGCTGGTGACTCTGGTTGTTGAAAATGGACTGCGCTTTCATGTTGATTTAGCTAGAGTGTATGTATCTTCTTTCTCATGGAAATGAATTTTAGTATGCATGCTTTTATTGAGTGCTTTGATGATGACCCAAATACCATTTACCATTTGCACTTAGCCCTTACCCTCCTTAATTCTGTGATGAAAGTAGCTTTGTGTGAGATGTCTGATATCAGTTTGAGTTTTCATTCAGAAGAAAAAGATGTTGTATCATTTGACTTAGAAAACATCTGTTCTTACCAAATCTCGTATCATATGATTTAACGATGTATCTGCTTATAAGTTGACTCTTTTGGCATTTTTTGTGTGTGCTAGATATTGGAATTCGAAACTTGGGACAGAAAGACAGAGGCTGCTACTCGGGTTCGACCAAAATGACGTTGTCTGTATGTTTGCTACTTAGAACTAACTTTGAGGGTACATTATGCAAATTATTGCTATGCCCTCTATTGAACTTCCCTTTGATAAATTAGCACCACTGATCTCCCCATAAAAAGTGCATATGTTCCTCCAATTGGTGTTAAAATTTACTGTTTTCTGTTGTATAACAAGCATATGTAGCAGGCAGATAGATAATACATTAACTGTCTTCTTGTTATTGCTACTCTGAAGTTCTTTTGTCTGTCTTGTTCCAAGTTTTGTCTATGTCTTGTTCTGTTTAGTTACAAATTACTTTGTCATTTTGACAGGTGATGTTTTTGCTGGAGTTGGTCCTATCGCACTTGCTGCAGCAAGAATTGTAAAACGTGTATATGCCAATGACCTGAATCCTCATGCAGTAGAATTTATGGAACAGAATAGTGTTGTCAATAAGCTCGAGAAGAGAATCGAGGTAAGTACAAATTCCAAACACCTTGATGCGTACTTTAAACCATTTGTAGAATTCTAAATCTCTTATATATTTCTAGATCTTTAACATGGACGGACGAAGATTCATAAAGGCTATGTTTTCAAGCGAAAAAGGTCGGAAAGTCACCCAAGTAGTCATGAATTTACCAAAAGATGCCGCTGAATCTCTAGGTTTCTTATATACTCCTACTTAAGTTTCCTTTTTCCTGGCTCACTTTCCCCTCTTAACAGCCATTAATACTTTGCTCAAGCAGATGCATTTCGCGGAGTATACAACGATAGGCAGAGAGATGAAGGCTTATCATTCCCAACCATCCATGTTTATGGATTCTCCAAGGCTCCTGATCCAGAATTTGACTTCCACGAGGTCTAACCCGTTGAAAAAAAACCATCTAATAAAATTTGATCACTAATTAACAATTGAGTAATGTTTAGTACACACAATGTGGTTTTGACTTGCAGCGGATTCGGATTGCTCTATCTGAAGTGGCTGTGGACGTGAAGATGCGAAAGGTACGCCTCGTGGCTCCTGGAAAATGGATGCTTTGTGCTTCATTCATACTTCCCAAGAGTGTAGCTTTCTCAAGGAAAAACCTAAGTTATGTAGATTAAAAGAATGCAATACATGGCAGAATATAGGGGCATATTTGCAAATACGAAATATTTTATTGTACTGCAGCCAGTAATACTTGCAGTGTCTTTGTTGAAGAACAAGACAACTAACAAGTGAAAGTGACAATAGCTTTTGTTACATTATTTAATATTCAAAAAAACATCTCACAACACAAAGTCACAAATCCCTATTTAAAAGCTTTCTACTCTTGGACACAGAATATCTGGTGCTCAGATTTGTCTCTGCCTATTGGACGGTCCAGATTTCAACATTGTCTCTGATCCTGTCCCTCCATTCCAAATCTTTACTTTCAAGTTTTAACATATATAAAAAAAACATTGTACTTCCTTAGTCCTCCTTGTAGTGATCCCATAACTTTGTACTACTTCTATATAAGTTTAATCAAGAATGTTAATTGTTGTTATACAAACTAAGCACTATAGAGCACATTTTCATATCTTTAGTTGTTTGGTGAGATTGAAAATTTGAAGAATCTAGAGACAAAGGCAAAGCTCTAGTATAGTTGTTGAATAGGGGTCTACAACTGTACTGAGTGAGGGGAGGGAGAGAATCTCAGTTGGAGATTGAGAGATCTAAAGTAATGATAATAGAAAATCTTGGGAAATTAAATTCGTAGAAAAGAAGAAAAAAGAGAGAGGTGGTCCAAAAGGAGGTTTAAGGAAGGGTTTGCAAGTTTGTATGAAAATAGATAGATAAGGAAGATGATGTATAAAGCCAAAACTAACAGTTACTCTCTTTTCTTTTTCTTTCTTTTTTTTTCATTTTCTTAGAATTCTTTACACTTCCCCAAAACTCACTCATTTATTCACCTACTCTGCCTCCTTTTGTCCTCTCTATAGTCTCTTGTCTACATTTACTCACAATGTATTATCGTTTATACGTATGAAGATACAATTAGAGATCTCATGAGGGAAGAAACAAGATGGAGTAATAGATTATTAGGATCCGTAGAGCTTTTAAAATGGCAGCAACAAACATTCTTTTTTTTTTGTGCAACACAGCAACAAACATTCTATGCAACTAATTTAAACAGTGTGATTAAACAAAAATTATTTCATTTTCAATAACCAAAGAGAATAATACTAATTTGTTTTTTTTGGCTCTATCATCTAATAGGAGGAGAAGTAAAAAAGAAAGAAGAGGAGGATCCAATCATTCTAGAAAGGACACAATATGCTTCACGGATCCCAAGAATCTTTCCATGCCTGCCTAAACCCAGCAATATAAATCAAACCTTCACACGCTTCGCCCTCTTTCACACGTGCCGGAAAAAAAAAACCCTAGTAGTAGCCGCCCAATGACCATCTAAAGTGGTCCCCGTGATGACACGTGTCAACTGGACCACTCTCCGTAACTTAACATGAAAGCACATGTGGGGTCTCTTCTATCGTCCTTTGCCCTTACCAGTTCCTTGTCCTAGCCAACAATACAATCTACGCGGTATCTATATCAAAATTTATCTAGCTATTTTCCGAATAAGAAAGCATATAATTCCTTTTATTTTTGAACAAATTAAACTTGGTAGAAATAAAATCATTCGATATTGATTTATTTAGATTTAGTGCAACTAGTTTATTATCATATCGCGTGTCATTCTAGGCTCATAGCAACATTGTAAATTTGTAGGTATGTTGCCATGTTGGGTTGGTCATGCCGTTTGGATTTTTTGTCAGTGATTAATTCAGATTTTATTTTTCTTCTTAATTATCTACTTGTAACAAAATCTCACTAACCGCAGAGTATTTGCATGTCACTCGTGAATATTTTGAGTATAAGAAAGTTGAGCAATTCTTGTTTATTTTAAAAACATAAGAAGATAAACCTGAAATTTTATATTTTGGGTAAAAAAGGTTATTTGAGCGTTATATGATACTTTTAGCATCTGAAAGTAGATTTTTTTTGGGGTAAAAAAGATTATTTGAGTATTATATATGATAATTTTATTCAGAAAACGTAGCAAAAGTACTTTGAGTGAATATAAAATTCTATTTTTATCTAATATTTAATATTGGCGATAACTACAAAAAATAAGATACATAATGGAGTAACTTTGGCTTCATAGTAGAAATAAATATCTTATTATTTCTCTTTTTGTTCAACAACATTTTGTTATTAGTATTTGTAAGAACTTTCATTTATTCATTGTTATAGTATTAAATTTCTGATTTGTTCTTTGAATTTTACAAAGGGTAGATCATATAACTTCACACCTAGTTACTTTTATTTAAATAAGATATATCGAAATCTCAACACATTGTAATGTATAATGATTTCAGAGGTGCTTAGCTTCTCTTAAGTTTCGTATTGAAAATATTCCAATATAAAACAAACTTTGTATCATGATAATAAAAAAATTCTAATAGTAGGTATTGGGCTGAAGCCAAAATTAACATGGAGGCAGCTTTAAAATGTTTCCTTATATGATGCAGCCATCATTTCTACTCTACTCCGTAGCTCCAACCCTTCTCGTATTTCACGTCTCATGCTATTCTTTTTGCTTTCGTCCTCCTCTCATGTGAAGCAATAACTATCTCTCAAATCAAAAAGCTAACTTTAATTTTTCAAATAAATCTCAAATATATAAATTTGACTTTTTGAAGTACTTAGAATTTATTTGTCAGCTAAGTATAGTGACTTTGTAAGCTTACTCGTATTTATCATATATATTCACATTAATTAAAACAAATAAAAACTAGTTTTTGGAAGAAAAGAAAAACAAAGAATAAATATAACTGCGACTGTAACTGGACTTGCTTATTTTAGTTGATATGAGCTGAGTAAAATCACGTTGTTTCAGACCTTGCTCGCTACAATCGGCGAATGGTCTAACGTCCCGACACCTGTCCTCGATCCACGGGTACTATATTCTCTACGTGTAATGCACGCGCTGTGGCTATTGGACAGTGTTTCTCACGTCACGACTGAGCCTAGCTAGTAGCGACAATCTCCGATTTGCTGTCTCCACGGTAGGGATTATCATAATTTTTTTTTTTTTTTTAATCTAAGAACAACTAAATAAATAGCTTTGAGTTTATTTTTCCTACTTCCTTCGCCCAAAAGATGTAAGAAAATAAAGAATTTGAAATCTTGTTCTGTTGTTAAGCCTTTTAAATTCTTAAACTACATATCATTATATGTCTTTGATCTATTTAACAAAAACTAATCATATTCGTTGCAAAGTGAGAATTTGTATGTACTAGAATTAGGATCAAGCGGACAAATTTAAAATTCTTTACCATTTGCTATCGCTACCAACTTGAACTTATCGTCTCACTTTACACCGATATTAACTATATATGTACATTATAGTATTCTATATTCGATATTAGGTTAATTAATTAAGGAGTAAGTGAAGATTATGGAAAGAGTGAGGCACCATTTAATTAATGGGCAGAACCAAATTAATATAACTAATTACCATATCTTGTTAAATTTCTTCACGATCCAATGCATGGAGAACATCAATCAATCATACATTCATGCTATAACCATAGTTTTCAGTTACAAACTCTCCTTTTTATTTATTTCAGTTGGTCCTTTTCATGATTATATTAATGCACCTTTTTAAACGTCTCTTGACTTTAAACCTACTAATATTGACATATTGAACATCTATACACACAATTTAAAAATACATGCAATTGCTAGGGAATTATTATAATTATTACATATAGGGTAATAAGACTAAGAGAAGTATTAATAGTTCTTTTGAGAATATTAGTCTGATATACTTACTACTCCCTCCGTTTCAGTTTAGTTGTCGTTTTAGGATTAAAATTTTGTTTCATAATAGTTGTCGTTTTAGGTTTTCAATGCAAATGTTTGGTGAAAATTAATGTTTTGTCATTAATGTTTTAATGTTTTGACCAATGAAAAAATTATAAAATATATTAATAAAGGGTAAAACAAAAAATTTAATGATTTTCTTAATTTGTGTGAAAAACCTTAAACAACAACTAAAACGAAACGGAGGGAGTAATATTTTTGAAAATGATTTAATTAATTTAGTGTAGGGGGTAAAAAGTGAAAAGTAAAAAAGAAATAAAGATACGTTATCCGCATATAGTACCTGGAAATAACAGAAAATAAAAACACAGGTAAGTACTTTGCCTGAGCTAGTATATGAACAATAAAGAGATATACACACACAAAAAGAGAGCAGAAACAAAACACACACTTAAAGCTTTCGTCTTTACCTCTTCACTTCTCTCTCTCTCTAAAAAGAGTTCCGAGAACAAGAAATCTCAGTGATCATCATCATCAATGGCGACTTCTCTCTTCTTCATGACAACAGATCAAAACTCCGTTGGAAACCCAAATGATCTTCTGAGAAACACCCGTCTTGTCGTCAACAGCTCCGGCGAGATCCGGACAGAGACACAGAAGAGTCGTGGTCGGAAACCAGGATCGAAGACAGGTCAGCAAAACCAGAAGAAACCGAAGCTGAGAGGAATGGGTGTAGCAAAGCTCGAGCGTCAAAGAATCGAAGAAGAAAAGAAGCAACTCGCCGCAGTCGGAGACACGTCAGCAGCATCGATCTCTAACAACGCTACCCGTTCACCCGTACCCGTAGACCCGGGTGTTGTGCTACAAGGCTTCCCAAGCCCACTCGGAGGATGCAGAAGCAACAGGATCTATTGTGGTGGAGTCGGGTCGGGTCAGATGATGATCGACCCGGTTTGTTCTCCATGGGGTTTTGTTGAGACCTCCTCCACTCATGAGCTCTCTTCAATCTCAAATCCTCAAATGTATAACGCCTCTTCTAATAATCGCTGTGACACTTGCTTCAAGGTTTGATTTTTTTTATAATCGTTTTCAACATGTTTTTGCATTTCAAAAAGTTTTGATTTTTATTATGAAAATCGCAGAAGAAACGTTTGGATGGTGATCAGAATAATGTAGTTCGATCCAACGGTGGTGGGTTTTCGAAATACAGAATGATTCCTCCTCCGATGAACGGCTACGATCAATATCTTCTTCAACCAGATCATCATCAGAGGAGCCAAGGTTTCCTTTATGATCATAGAATCGCTAGATCAGCTTCAGTTTCTGCTTCTAGTACTACTATTAACCCTTATTTTAATGAGGCGACAAACCATACGGTACTTTATATATAGTCCATTTATTTATACACATGATATAGGTATGTATATAAGTATATAACTGTTGATCTAATTTGGTTTAATTGGTGGGTTTAGGGATCAATGGAGGAATTTGGGAGCTACATGGAAGGAAACCCTAGAAATGGATCAGGAGGTGTGAAGGAGTACGAGTTTTTTCCGGGAAAATACGATGATTTCTCGGGAAAATATGGTGAAAGAGTTTCAGTGGTGGCTACATCATCAGTCGTAGGTGATTGCAGTCCTAATACCATTGATTTGTCCTTGAAGCTTTAAATGTTTTTAAAATTTTGAATCATCTCAGAGATTTTTCACCTCTTATATCTTTCTATATTTATTTTAAACAAATCGTCTTTGTTTTAAAGAAAAACAATTAAGTAGATGAAAGTAAGAAACAGAAGAAAAAAAAGACCCTTTTTTGGTGTATGCATCTGAGAACTGGATCAAAAGAAAGATTCAGCTTTTGGATTACCCTTTTGGTTGTTTATTATGAGATTCTAACCTAAACACTCAGACATATATGTTCTGTTCTCTTCCTTAATTGTTGCCATGAAACTTCTCTCTCTCTCTAAAGTTGTGTCAGATCTTGGGGCTTGTATCCATTTTGTGTTTCTTTAGTTAGGCAATGATCCTGTCATGATTCATGTTATCACCTAATTAATCCTCGGTTTTCGTAACGGTGTCATCTGATTAATCTTGTTATCTGGTGTGAGATAAATATATCAAATTGCTCTTGCTTATAGCCATTTTCAATTAATTACATTGCATAAAATATAGGGTGTACGTACAGCTTTGTTTTCGGTTTATACAAGTGTTTGATATTTTGGAGTTTATCTTCTTTTTCTAAGTTTTATAAGTTGATTTGATTTGTCTTTGTTCATTTCTAGAAAATATGAAATCTCAACAATTATTTTAGGATGTTTTTATTTGATTTTAGTTCGGCTAAAATTAGTCAGATTTTTAAATGTTATTAATTTCACCTAGTCCAATACTACTGCATTTTGGAATTTTAAACATATTTCATTTCGTTATAATATGTTCGGAAATTGTGTAACACACTTTGTATACTAACACATCAATTAAAAAACCATAACCATCAAATTGTTTACGGTCAAAATATTTGTCTAAAAAAAAAAAGTATTTGAAACAAAAGCAAACAATTTGAAATCGTAAACAAAATTATTCATCATAAATATAAATATATGTATTACAAATAGTTACACTTGGTCTAACAAACACGATTACAACAATTACTCAGCAAACCGTCTATGTTTGACAATATTGATAAAGTCTGTTGTTTGACAAAACATGGTATATGGGCCTTAATATTAAAACAAAGGGCCCATTAGAAAAGTAAACTGACAAGATAAAACACGTTCCCTACAAATCCTCACTACGCAGCTGCTTAGCACGTTCTCGTAATTTTCAACTTCTTGAAAATTCAATTCAATAATATATCCATTATCCAACAATTAGCATTTAATTATAATTAATTTTTAAAGTAATTAAAACTGTCAAAACACGGCTCTCTCTTCTTCATCATCATCATCATCGGAAAAAAATCAAAGTTTCTATAAATTGTTGAATCAAGCAGAGAAGAAGAAGAAGAAGAGATCATGAATCCAGATTCCGATTATCCTCATCTCCCTAACATCAAGATCCACCATCCTTCCTCTCCTCGTCACTCTCACCACCACTCTTCCTCTACTCCTTCCGCCGCTACTCCTACCCCAACCGCCGGTGCTCGCCGTAAGATCGGAGTCGCCGTTGACCTCTCCGAAGAAAGCGCCTTCGCTGTTCGCTGGGCTGTCGATCATTACATCCGTCCCGGTGACGCCGTCGTCATTCTCCACGTTTCTCCAACCTCCGTTCTCTTCGGCGCCGATTGGGGACCACTCCCTCTCCAAACTCCTCCTCCTCCTTCCGCCGCTACCGATCCCGGAGCTCAACCGAAACCTAGTCAGGAAGATTTCGATGCGTTTACTTCTTCCAAAGTAGCGGATCTAGCGAAGCCATTGAAGGAAGCTGGGTTCCCTCATAAGATCCATATAGTGAAAGATCACGATATGAGAGAGAGGCTTTGTTTAGAGACTGAACGGCTTAATCTAAGCGCTGTGATAATGGGAAGCAGAGGATTTGGTGCTGAGAAGAGAGGAAGTGATGGCAAGCTTGGCTCTGTTAGTGATTATTGTGTTCATCATTGTGTTTGTCCTGTTGTTGTGGTTAGATATCCTGATGATCGTGATGGTCCTCCTCCTCCTGGGAATGTTGGAGCTACGAGAGAAGCTATTGTGACTGTTAAATCACGTAGGGATGATGATGATGATGATGAAGATGATGATGAGACTAAGATTGCTGCTGCTGTTTCTGATCATCATGAACACATCAAAGGTCAGGATCATTCATTTTTTTCTCTTGTGGTTTTCGTATTCACTTGCACCGTTGACTTGTTGATGTATATGTTAGCTTAGTGTAACAGAGAGATATCCATAGATGGGAACTTGAAAACTTAGATTTTTCCATGGATTCGTTTCCACAAGTTAGAGTATTGTGATGTTTAATTCTGTTCAACTATTGATTTTTCTTGTTAAACTCTGTTTCAGCTTGTACTTATCTAACTTTCTGCTTTAGTATCGAAAAGTAACAATGATATTTTATTCTGTTATTCGTTTCTCTTCTCAAGATTCCATTTTTTCTTCATTTGCTTTGTTGAGTGTTTGCTATTTCCGTTGCCTTTTTTTATGATTATCTTGAAAATTAGGCAGATTTCCACTGCAAGTGGTTCAAATGAGCTTCAACATTTTCTTCAATTCATGATTTTCCTAGTCTGCTTTGGCTCTTCTTTGCTAACCACTGCTTGTGTTTCAATTCGAATATTCTTGAAACCTCCTAGTATAGAAGATAATTGCTTTTGGCCCACCAAGAAAAGTTTGTTTTTATGATTGTTTTCTATCTTTTCTCTGGCTTGGAGTAATAGTAAGCAAAGTATTACAATTCTTGACTTGATAAAGAAGAGAAGAAATGAATCCCTGAGCTCCCTCCCTGGCTTCACTCCTTTAGTAAATTTTAGTGAAAACATGCATCTGGTGGAATATTGTAAACTCTGTTGCCTGTAATATGAATGTAAATAAGTATCTTCTAACTTTTAGTTGCTGATATCAAAGAGTCTATGAAAACTTGTCCCGGGGAAAATTAAGTAGAGTGATATGGAAATCAAAATCAATTCTCTTTGCTTAATCTAGTTAGTGTTTTGGGAAGACAGTCTTTTTCACTGGTTTATACTTTATACACTACATTTAGACATATATGATAACTGTGTGTAGGGTGATACAGAATAGCTATGAATTGTTAAAGCCTAGGTTTGCAAAAGAAAATGTAGATGATCTTTGCTTGATTGATTCAGTTCTTGTGTAGCCTTGTGAATCTAATTTGAACTCGTACAAGTTTACACTCGTAGAAGGAAATCTGACATCAAGCTAATTAAACTACTTCATCAGTCACAAGTTGTCTGCATATGATTTGATTATCCAAAGCGAATGACAAGTGATCCTCTTCCTTTTACAGATGAGTAATGCGCCTTGGTATCTCATCGGATTCACCCTCGCCACAGCCAGGTATAATACAAACAACCTTTTCAACTTTGAGTGGTCTCCACCGATCATTCTTTCGGTTTTTCTTAATCTTTTGAAATTCGTAGGTGTCGATGGATGAAGCAAAGCGGATTTGTGCAGAGGAGTGTGTTTGTGTGTGTGATTTGTGCTATCTTTTGCAATCATGAAAAGTCTCTGGAATCTCCTCTGGATTATTTATTCCCAGTGCTTGTTCTTATAATTCTCCATGTATGATTTTCACATTTAAACAATACCCTTTTGGGATTCTGATCTTAATCTTCAATCTAATTTGGTTTTTAACACTTAAACAAATCTGACCAAAGTATCGATACTAATCTGTCCCGGGGAAAAGCTACTTAGGGTTAGTTATCAACAGCATAATACTTTTTCTCTTGGGAATATACAACCTAAACCACTTAATGTTGTAAACTCTGTTGCCTGTTATATGAATGTAAATAAGTATCGTCTTTCTTTTAGTTGCTGATATCAAAGAGTCCATGAAAACTTGTCCAGGGGAAAAATTAAGTAGAGTGATATAGAAATCAAAATCAATTCTCTTTGCTTAATCTAGTTAATGTTTTGGGAAGACAGTCTTTTTCATTGGTTTATACTTTATACACTACATTTAGACATATATGATAACTGTGTGTAGGGTGATACAGAATAGCTATAAATTGTTAAAGCCTAGGTTTGCAAAAGAAAATGTAGATGGCCTTTGCTTGATTGATTCAGTGAATCCTCTTGTGTAGCCTTGTGAATCTAGTTTGAACTCTTACAAGTTTACACTCGTAGAAAGAAATTTGACATCAAGCTAATTAAACTACTTCATCAGTCACAAGTTGTGAGCATATGATTTGATTATCCAAAGCGAATGACAAGTGATCCTCTTCCTTTTACAGATGAGTAATGCGCCTTAGTATCTCATTGGATTCACCTTCTTCACAGCCAGGTAAAATATAAACAACCTTTTCAACTTTGAGTGGTCTCCACCGATCATTCTTTCGGTTTATCTTAATCTTTTGAAATTCGTAGGTACGACGATGGATGAAACAAAGCGGATTTGTGCAGAGGAGTGTGTTTGTGTGTGTGATGTGTTTGTGCTATCTTTTGCAATCATGAAAAGTCTCTGGAATCTCCTCTGGATTATTAATTCTCAGTCCTTTTCTTATAATTCTCCATGTATGATTTTCACATTTAAACAATGAAGGAGTTGGTATTAACACTAAAAACCCTTTTGGGATTATGATCTTAATCTTCAATCTAATTTGATATCCGATGAGATACTAGAAGATGGAATCTTGTTTTGCTTTTTAACATTTACAACAAATCTGGCCAAAGTATTCATAGTACTGATCTGTCCCCGAGAATACGCAAGATACATATAACTACTCTTGGAATATACAATCTAAACCACTTAAGTATACAAAAGTCATGGGCCAGTAAAACTCAGCCCAACCCAGAATTCAAAAAAAGTGTACAAATAAAAAGTCTAGGGTTACTCTATTAGTCTATTACCACAACACTCTTTCTCACTTTCTCACGGAATCCTCTAGCATCGCCAATGGGCAAGAAGCGAAATAAATCGAAATCCTCTTATTCTAGTTCTTGTTCTTTTCTCATCTTGAGCTTTTGTTTCCTCTGTTAATGACTTGGCTTTTGTTTTGTTTCGGATTTTCAGGAAATTGGTGATGCTGACATGCTTGCCCTTGAAAAACAGAAGGCCAAATCTCTGGTTAGACCTTCTTCTTGCATGCCTTGTGTATTTCTCTACTTAATTGTTTATGCCTTGTGTATTTCTCTACTTAAATAGTTGATACTTATCCTATTAAATGGCATCGACTCTATTTACGACTTTTTGTTGTGATATGTTTCATTCTTTGACACTAATCATGTTTGATTATTGCAGGAAAATGATGAGGATGAAATAATTGTCTCGAAAAAAGTAAGTATCTACAGTTTTTTTTGTTTTTGTTTTTACATTAGTGCCATTTAAGATGGCTGACTCTCGCCCAAGTAATTAGTTTGATTTGTTGTAACCAGTTTTCTTATCAATTACTTTTAATCCAATGGCAGGATATTAAAAAAATGACAAAATCTATCAAAGAGCTGTCTGAAGCTATAGAAAAAAACTGTCGAGAAAAATGTATCTACAATTTTTTTGTTCCTTTTTGACATTTTTAGTCCCATTTAAGATGGCTCAATCTCGCTCAAGTAATGTGTTTGATTTGTTGTTACCAGTTTTCTTATTCATAACTTTTATTCCAATGGCAGGATATTATAAAAATGACCAAATATCTATCAAAGAGCTGTCTGAAGCTCTGTGAAAAACCTAGAGAATATTCTACTGGCCTTTGTTAGATGGCAACTTAGCATTTAGATGAATGCTAATTTTGGTGATTGGTAAATGGTTTAGGCGTGTGATTTGAGAGTTGACCCTTTGATTGTTTATACATAAGGAAAAGAAGACAAGAATCATAAGATGGTGATGAAGATTAATGACAAGGTGAAGTCAACGAAGAAGTAATTTGTTTTGTTAAATCTGAACTAAGTCAAGTTAGAATAGTAAAGAAGTGGGTGAGAGTTGTCAGACTCTAAGCTTTAGTAGGCTAAGTAGGTGTAACTTAGACTATTCACTAGAGATAATCATACCTAATGTGGGTGGTTAATCTAGAGTTATAGTGCAAGTACGGTGAAGGTGTATAGTGTGTGTGTACGAGAAAACTACTATATGTATGTGTGAGTGTAGTAATGTAACGAGAATAAGTTTCTAGTAAAACAATTTCTTGTGTTTATGGTTAACTTTGCACAAAAAAAAAAAGTGTTTATGGTTAACAAAGAGAGTAAGAGAAAATAGAGTGGACATTACAACAGCGTCCAAAGTTGTTTTTTTAAATCATTCTCTACACACAAAAAAAGAATTTCTATTTCCAGATAATTGTAAAACAGTTTAAACACTAGTAGCTTTGTATATGAGTATATCGAATCATTTCACATGGATGTGAGTAAATTTTTGGGAAATTGGCAAAACTAACCAACAAAAAAACTTTAATTCAATAACTAACCTCTAACCCCCTATTCACTCTCTTTCTCTTCCTATCTCTCTCTACCTTCTTTCTAAAAAACTAATTTTTTTTTTTTTTGGTTATTCACCTAAATCACCCTAAATTTTTATATGTAAATTATCAAAAATATAATTTGAGAAATGTCACACATGAATTTGTAAGTGTAATCAAAATGTTAAAAGTAGCTTTTTTTTTTGGTGTGCAAATGTTAAAAGTAGCTTGAAATTATATAATAACATTTTTTGTTTTTTTGAGTGTAGACAACTAAATGAGGGTATGGGGAAGCGAAAAGTTTCTAAAATTGGGAATGCTTGGATATTGTTCACTACTCTGAAAATTCTTCCACAAGACAAACCAAGGATCATCCATGTGTTCACCAGCCTTTGCTTAAGCAGACGCATTAATTTCAATGGTAATCTCATGGTTAGCACTTGCATCAAAGACAGGAGACATCATTCTTATGTCAAACAACATAAGGAAAATTCCTAAAGAGATGAGACTAGCGAAGAGAAGCCGCAAGAAAGTGATTGAGAAAGTGATTTTATCTGTGAGCATCAAATGCTTCTTGTTAGAAAAAAAGCTTAGGATTTGTTTTTATATTTTTCATTTAAAACCTAGCTATCTTTTATAAAAGATTTGTTGAGATCTTGTCAAGAGGAATCTTACACGATCGGAAATCTTTAAAACTTATATGAATTAAATAATAACATAACCTTTACTAATTATTAATTTGATAGCAATGTGATTTTCAGTTCAATTTTTGAACAGTTTGGAAATTTTGATATATTTTAAGATAAATGCAATACATAAACTGTTGATTGGCAACTTTGTATAACATTGACTAAATCCCCTATTTTACATAATTGGTCTTGTGTCTCATATTAAACATTTGGGTAAGTTATTTTGTTAATCTCAGTGTTCCAAAAAAATAATATATATAGTATAGTTAACAGATATCAAACAGGGGTGGTCATTTTAACATCTGTTATAAACACATAGCAAGATATCAAAATGCTCTGGAGTGGAATCTCCTATGGATTTTTTCTCAGTCATTGTTCTTCTTATAATTCTCCATGTATGATTTTCACATTTAAACAATGTCCTTTTGGGATAATGGTCTTAATCTTTAGTCTAATTTGATATCTGATGAGATACTAAAAGATGGAATCTAATTTGGTTTTTATCACGTAAAACAGATTTGACCAAAGTATTCATACTGGTCTGTCCCGGAGAAAAAACTAATTGGGTTTAGTGAGCATAAATTATACTATAAGCAAGATGTACATTGGAATATACAACCTAAACCACATAAAAAATAAAAAAGTCATGGGCCACTAAAACCAAGCCCAAACAAGAATACTAAAATAGATAAAATGATAAAAATGGAAAGGTTAGGGTTTTCACGAAATCCTAAATCTAGCCGTCGCTCTCTTCTCTCTCCTCGTCTCACCCATGAGAAAGAACAAGAAGCGCAAATCTCCAACTATAATCTTACAAGATCACATTCTTTGAATTTTTTCTCTATTTGTTTCTTAACAACATTTTCAAACATCCGACAGTTGAATCCAGAGATGTAATTTTCACGTAACCAAACCAAATGTTCCTCTAGCGGTCGTCCTCTACTATCGCCAATGGGCAAGAGCAACACCAAAAAACGCAAGGATTCAAAATCTTCCATTTTAATATTTTTATTCTTCTTAATTTCTTTGTTTTTTTTTTATCATCTTGGGCTTTTGTTTTTTTTTCTATTATTGACTTCCTTTGTCTTGTTTCGAATTTTCAGGATATTGGTGATGATACTAAAACCTTTTTGTTTTTGTTTGATTTTTGTACAAAAATGATGAAGATGATATTGTTTGCAAAAATGATATTGTTTCTTAACCTAGATAGGAACTAAAGACTATTGTGTGTCAAAGAATGAAAAATCAAGTCGTAAATAAAGTCTATGCGATTTAATAAGTTAAGTACTTAAAGCTTTTAAGGCAAAAGTAAAAAAAAAATGTTAATTCAACATATCGTTGCAAATCATGATATTGCAACAAAATTGAGACACATTTTGTATTGTTGCTGTTTGAACGTTGCAAATTTATAATGAACTAACTTCTTGTTATATATATATATATATATATATATATATATATCATATTAATGCAACATTAGTACGGTAGTAAATTTGTAATATAATTGTGACATACATTTGCAACTCTAAATTGTTACAACATATTGCCGTATAGCAAAGACATGACACGCCTGAATGTTCTCAAGAAGCTACAAAATATGGAACCTAATCAATCGATCATATATACTCTGCCATGTTTAACTTATTGATCCAGTTCTAATGGTTAAAAAAAAAAGAAGAAGACAAGTTTCATATCTCCTGTTTTCAGTTTTGAATCATTATATATTCGGAATTGACGATGTCGTGTGAATGTAAATTACGTTATGGCTGAATGAATGTTAAGTTTGTAGTTAACTAGTGTAGTTTAATTTAATTGTCAACCTCGACGTACGGGAGAAAGACTGATCCGTTAGGTTTTAGTTTGACTTTTGGAGCTATGAATGGACTAATATAATGGTTGAAGTATTTGACGCTAGTCATGCTTTGATTGTGAAACCCACCGAATTTCCTAAATTTCGAATGTTTTTTTTGTTGGAATTGTAGAAAAGCTTATAAAATTGAAACAATATAGGAATTTACGTTAAAACAATAATATATTTTTTGTTAATTTATTATCTTGCGAACCACATCTTTTATACTAAAATTAATAATTCCAGATAGACCCAACTCTCCAACCCCCACAACACAAGTCTTTATATCACCCAAAAAAAGGAGTAATATTATTAAATTAAAGGTAAAAACATTGAGGATGTCATTATTCTTATGGACCATCAAAAACAGTTCACAGACGCGGCAGATATGCCAGGTTCAATGTTCTTGGCGAATGAATGTAACCTCAAGGACCCATTCTCTTATAAAAATCTTTCGAAATTTATTTTCATTTTTTCTAGTCCCCACAATTGAGTGGTCGAAATTACAAAGCAAACCACAATCATATACTTTACTTTTACGGTATGTGTATACCATTGTGTCCATCTGCCACCAATCTATCCCCCATTCCTTTGATCCATAGAATACAATCATATATAACATATTAAGATTAATTTACTTAGATTAACAAAAAAAATCAACATAATAACGATATTGATAGGTCAATTAAAAACTTTAAAATTGATTTTGTACGACAAAGGATCAAAGAAAGAAAAAAAGAACTACCTCATCAACTAAAACAAGTATTGTCAGAAAATAAACGGTGGTGATTTACTTAAAAGGAAAAAAAAGAGGAATCAACGGCTGAGATCTCTCCTTGTTTTGGAGATCGCAAAGATCAGAGAAGACGATGTATCGGCGCCGTTCAATCAGTTAAACCACAACCGTTGATTTAAACGCCGATCGCTTCAACGGCCGAGAATAGTTTGACTCATGAGCTGAAGAAGAGCTTCCGATCTCATCCTGCATTTTCCAAAAATTAAAAAACGACAATTAAAACCAAAATTTTCTCTGTTAATTTTCCTGAGAAAAAAGAAAAGAAAAAAAGATAGATCCATACATCGGAGCAGAGAAGATCTGAATTCTCCCTAGACCTCGTCCTCTTCGTAACCGAACCTCCGCTTCCACCGTCAGAAGATGAAGAACTCATCACCGGAGGTGGTTGCGCCGCCGCAGACCACGGCACAACTTGATTCTCAGCTTCTTCATCATCATCAACAACATCATCATCATCATCCTCATCGTCACTGTACTCTTCATCCTCATCTTCCTCCTCATCATCATCGTAAGACTCCGCGCCGTCACCGTCACCGTGATCTTCTCTATTCCGATCTTCTTCGGACTCGAAACTATTAACCTCCTCCTGACCTCGATTCTCCGATGAAACCCGGTTTCCACCGCCGCCGCCGGCGTTTTTAAGAGCGACGCATGAATCGCAGACGGAGAAAGTTGGGCCAAGACGAAGCCCCGTAGCTTTCCACGGCGTAAGAGACTGACAAGCGCTACAGAGAAGACACCGCGTGTGCTTAGCGACCAAGAAATTAGCGCCGTGAACTTTACCGTCGCAATCCCAACATAAACTAGCTTGATCTGACTCGCAATACATTCTTGCAACACCGTTACATAAATCACACCTCTTCCCCATTTTAATCAAATCAAACTCTTTCTCTCTTTCAAGATTCTCTTGTGGTTCGTTTGTGTGTGTCTCTCTCTATATGGTTTTGGTTTCTTTCTTGGAGAGATAAGGGAAGAAGAAGAAGAGGAAAGTGCAAGTTGCAGGATTTGGGATATTTTTCGTGGCGAGTTTTCTGTGATTCAACAATTCTTTGGAGGCTAGTTTCGTCTTTTTCTGTGTTCTGCTAAAAAATCTATTTCTCTTCTTTGGTTTCACAATGACTCTATTTTATATTGCACCTTCCTTTTTTTATTCTGTGGTTAGTATCCATTTCATTTCAATTTAACTTTAGTACTAACTTATATTATTTAATCAATTAAGGATTGGTTCAACTTAAAAATCTTTTTTGCTTAAGAGATTGGTTTATCACTTTAACCTTTATTTGAGATTTTTGTTTGGATAATTATCAGATCCATATCTGCAATTATTTAATTTACTTGAGTCAGTAATGTTTTCTTTATCTTCGAGTTTTAATTTTTCTTGTGGATAGAAAATGTTTCACTCCCACTGTTTCACTAATTTCATTAAAGTTTAAGACAAATTAATTCTGAGTTATTAGGATAAATAAGTTTAAATGGTAATTTAAATGATTTTGAAAACCAGTTTATTAATGCGTATGGGCCAAAGCCAAACCCCGTTTTTACGTGGCGACAAACTCATGGTTGAGTTTCGAGATATTTTTTTTTTCTGGAGGTGAGATTTATTTAGTCGATGACGTGGCGAGATCTCAGCCGGAGAAGAAGGAGGGAGAGATTCTGTTCGGTCCTACGTGGACAAATCAGGTTCTCAATGGGCTTCGTGCCACGTGAGCCCACCTGGGATTTGTCTGGACCATAACACAAGTTTAATGGGGCCCCACAGCTCTCTCTTCGATTATCTTTCTCTATTTTTATAAACCACTTGTTTTGTTTTTTACTTCTCCCATACTTCTCTTCCCAAACTGATCCAAAACATCTGTGTTTCTTCTAATTATGGCTTTGTGAGAGGATAAGATAATAATGAATTTTAAATTACAAAATAATTCATTGGTATGGGAGAGAATAAAAAACCTTTCTTATATAGTAACATAGTAGGCGAGTGATATTTTTCATTATAGATATGGTTATTTAATCGTATAGTTGATTTATTTGTGGCTCTCACGAACCCATTGTAAGAAAAACAAATGTTGATTAAACTCTGGCCACATAAAAGATTGTGCTTGTGTGGCATGCTTTGATTTGGGGAAATCCTACGTGGCGATCGACGGTGGTGTGAAGAATCAAAGGAAGATGAGATGTCATGATTAGAGCCACGGGAACACAAAGTTTGTGGTGAGTGGGTGTGGTTGTGGTTATGGCTCATTATTCTGACTTTTTTTTCCCTTTTTTTCTCCTTTGTGTGGATAAGAACTTTGGAACAAGTCAGAACTTTGAAGAAAGAGGTTCATTTTCAACAAAATGTGTATAAATATAAATTGTCAGAATAGTTCAATACACCACCTCCATAGTTCTTATCTTCTAAGAGATGTGGCATGTATCATCATGTATGTATGGGGTTGGGGATATGCAGTGTTGATGCCAGTTTTTGTATAAAGAGTTTTTCTTAAAATTTAGAATCAATTATGGATTTGCCATTTTTTGGGATGACATTTGTGGATTTTGCCTTTTTTTGAATAGTTTATGGATTTTGCCCTTTTTCAGGCTACGGAAATATGATTTAACATGCGTTTTATTCGTTATGTTTGGGTTTAGTCGGTGGTGGTTGTTCTTAGGGTTTAGTATTTTGTATAAACTACGTATTTTTACCAAAAAAAAATCTGAAATACGTACATTTTTAAGTGTAAAAAAATGGCAAATCCGTAAGATTTTAATGAAAATGACATTTTCAAAAGATTTTGATAAAAAAGGGCAAAATCAACAATAATCCCTAAAATTTATTGATAAATTATATATTCAAAATATAATCCAACGCCTAAAATTGAAAAAGTAGTTGAGTTTGTTTTCTGTTTACATTGATTTTATTAACTTAACTATTCAACCACTAAAATTAAAATGCTGGATTGTTTGTTGTTTTAAAACAGCTTAATGATTATGAAACCGATTTTTAATTTGTTTAATTGACATAAATTGATCAGTCTAATAGTCTAGTCATCCCATCCAATTTGGATTCGAACTCCTATCACTATAGTACATATATGACTTAAACATATATATTTGTTGGAAGACTAATTATATCATTTTAAATTAGAGAAATAACCAATGGTTTTGCTATATACCAAAGTCTTTGATTAAAAAATCGATCAAAATTTGAATAAGAAAATGTTGTAACGAACGAATGGACATTCAATAACCACCCATCAATAAATGTTATATATATATATATATATTTTCTATATTCGAATAAAACCAATCAATAATTCTACTAATGCTCCATACAGAAAAACCACACGTTAACCCCTTAAAATATAATGACACGATTGTGAGAAAAAGACTAGCAAAGAGACAATGCATAAGCTAAGAAGGCCTAAGGGATGAATTATTAACATGGGCCTCTTTTTGTCCACGTTTTTTCTCTTTCTTTTCCTTCTTTGCATTCACGTTTCTTGGTACCTCTTACAGTCTCCACGTTGAAGTGTAAGCATTACAAAGCTCTCTCGCTAGAGACAACGATGATCTTATATCTGTTACGTTTCATGTGCCAAAATTAGGTATTGATTTTCTATTGGTACATATCAGTTTGGGCCATCCGGTCACTATAATAGACCTATGGCCTATATTTTTAAAAAACTTCTTACTTGCCAAATAATTTCTCCACTCGAAAATAGTCGGAAGTGACAATAACCCGGACACTTAAAATCAATAGCAAAACTCTGGATCCTGGCTTCATCAACTGTTATGATTGTAAACTAATGTTTTTCGCCTACTAAAAGCATACCTAAGAAGCAAGAACAATGGAGAGCGTGGGCCGTATATGGGCCTTTAAACAATTAGATACAGGCCAGCCACGTCTCTAAGTTGACTAGTATTTGCGTTGACTGAGCCATATCCACGTCAGTTCGCCAACGACTGGCTCTTCTTTTGTTGAATATATGGAGGAGAATTTAAGGTTCTTGTAAAAAATAAAAAAAAATAAAAATGTTCTTGTTGATAGTTTTCGTTATAAGATTTAGTAAATCTGATTTATGGTTTAATCTTGTAGACTCATAGTAGTTTTAGTATACAATTTTTTTTGGCAACAGTAGTTTTAGTACAAAATATGAATGTAAATACATCCATTAATATCCATCTATCCACCAGATCAATAATGCAATGCATGAATTTTACTTGAATCGTCCCAATGTACATATCAAACTATCAATGATCTGATTCTGACCACTCGGTCCCTTATATGGGGACTAAGTCAAGGAAGATTAGCCACACTTATTTATTGCTTTTGTCCTTGCTAGGCTTATACACTCTTAACCTGAGAAACATCCAACATTGGCCATCAAAACTTAATGATGAATCATATCTTGTCTCTGGCGTTCAAACAAAACACCCTAATAATTTTTTTTTTCATACTGAAGAAAAGTTTTATAATTGAAATTCAACAGCCACAGGCAATCTGCATTGAATTTATCTTGACTTGTCGCTCATGCCAAGTTGGGTTGTACGAAGTTGACAAAAAATTATTATTTATGTATGTGATTGTCATAATGTATATTATAATGATTCACTTTTTTTAGTAAAGAGTATACAAAACTAGAAATAGAAGGTTTTGTTCTTTAAACAATTTGGAACAAAAGAAAAAGGTTTTCATTCGATGAGAAATACTCATTCTCTGTTTTCGTTATCTCTGTTCTTAATTTCATCATCTTTCTCTGTTGCTTTGGATTATAGTGTCATAACTCCAAGAGAATTCCTTAAGGATGGAGATACTCTTAGTTCTCCAGACCAGGTTTTCCAACTTGGGTTCTTTAGTCTTGACCAAGAAGAGCAGCCTCAACATCGGTTTCTTGGCTTGTGGTACAAGGAACCATTTGCAGTCGTTTGGGTGGCTAACCGAAACAATCCTCTCTACGGCACATCTGGATTCTTAAACTTGAGTTCTCTTGGCGATCTTCAGCTATTCGACGGTGAACACAAAGCCTTGTGGTCATCATCATCATCAACAACAAAAGCTTCTAAAACAGCAAATAACCCCCTCTTGAAGATATCTTGTTCAGGGAATCTCATATCTAGTGATGGAAAAGAAGCTGTGTTGTGGCAGAGTTTTGATTATCCCATGAATACAATACTCGCGGGTATGAAGCTTGGAAAGAATTTCAAGACACAAAAGGAATGGTCTCTATCGTCTTGGAAAACCCTAAAAGATCCATCCCCGGGTGATTTCACGTTGTCTCTAGACACTCGAGGTTTACCACAATTGATCTTGAGGAAGAATGGAGATTCTAGTTATTCCTATCGCTTAGGATCTTGGAACGGCCTATCCTTCACCGGAGCTCCAGCTATGGGACGAGAGAATAGCTTATTCGACTACAAATTCACGTCGAGTGACCAAGAAGTAAACTACTCGTGGACTCCTCGACACAGAATTGTCTCAAGACTGGTCTTAAACAACACAGGGAAACTCCATAGGTTTATCCAGTCGAATCAACACCAATGGATCTTAGCAAACACTGCACCAGAAGATGAGTGTGACTACTACTCTATATGTGGAGCTTACGCAGTTTGTGGGATTAATAGCAAAAACACACCTTCTTGTTCATGTTTACAAGGATTCAAGCCAAAATCAGGTCGAAAGTGGAATATTTCAAGAGGAGCATACGGGTGTGTCCATGAGATTCCAACCAACTGCGGAAAGAAAGATGCATTTGTGAAGTTCCCAGGTATGAAACTACCAGATACTTCATGGTCTTGGTATGATGCAAAAAATGAAATGACACTTGAGGAGTGTAAGATCAAGTGTTCAAGTAACTGCTCTTGCACGGCTTATGCGAATACCGATATTCGCGAGGGAGGAAAAGGTTGTTTGCTTTGGTTTGGTGACTTGGTTGATATGAGAGAGTATTCTACCTTTGGACAAGATGTTTACATAAGAATGGGTATTGCAAAAATAGAGTTTAAAGGAAGACAAGTGGTGGGAATGGTCGTTGGATCAGTGGTGGCCATTGCAGTTGTTTTGGTTGCAGTGTTTGCATGTTGCAGAAAGAAGATAATGAAGAGATACCGAGGTGATTTTTTTGAATCATCAATTCTCTTTTATAACTATGAGATTGTCTCTCAAGTATTTTATATTGAAATTTGGTGGTTACTACTTTTTGCAGGTGAAAATTTCAGAAAAGGGATTGGGGAAGAGGACTTGGATTTGCCTATTCTTGACAGAAAAACGATTTCCATAGCCACTGATGATTTTTCATATATAAACTTCCTTGGAAGAGGAGGGTTTGGACCAGTTTATAAGGTTGAATATAATGTATTCATCACATTTTTGCTTTTATAGTACTGATTAAAATCTTGAATTGTGATCAATTTCTTTGCAAATTATTGCAGGGTAAGTTAGAAGATGGACAAGAGATTGCGGTCAAGAGGTTATGCGCGAACTCAGGACAAGGAGTGGAAGAATTCAAGAACGAAGTAAAACTAATCGCAAAACTTCAACATCGTAACCTCGTGAGGCTTTTAGGATGTTGTATTCAAGGTGAAGAATGTATGTTGATCTATGAGTATATGCCTAACAAAAGTTTAGACTTCTTTATCTTCGGTACGTTCTTACTTTACAAACTCAATCTCATGGTCTTTGTGTAGATTTTAAGATAATGACCATATTGCTTAACTTTATTAAATGATTGTAAATAAAGATGAAAGGAGAAGTAAAGAATTGGATTGGAAGAAGAGAATGAACATTATCAATGGAATTGCTCGTGGGCTTCTCTATCTTCATCAAGATTCAAGATTGAGGATCATACATAGAGATCTAAAAGCTGGAAATGTTTTACTAGATAATGATATGAATCCTAAGATCTCAGATTTTGGATTGGCTAAATCATTTGGGGGAGATCAGAGTGAATCAAGCACAAACAGAGTCGTGGGTACTTAGTAAGGACACTCTATCACCCTGTATCTCTATATGACTTTGTGTACTATTGTTTATAGAAATTATAATGCTTTGGATTTGCATGACTACTTGCAGTGGTTATATGCCTCCGGAGTATGCAATTGATGGACATTTCTCTGTGAAATCCGATGTGTTCAGTTTCGGTGTATTAGTACTTGAGATCATAACTGGCAAGACGAATCGCGGGTTTCGTCATGCAGATCATGATCTTAATCTTCTTGGACACGTAAGTTAACTTTTAGTTCATTTTTCTTGAATCAAATCTCATTTTTGGATCTGAAATATTCCTACACCTTGGATTCTCATACTAAGTGAAAGTTCATGAAATTTCCACCTCAAAATAAATTAGCACTAAATGAAGTGATTCATGCCATTTATATAATATTTTAAGTTTTTTACAATATTGTGGGATTCCTAACAAAACCGGAGTTGTCTCCTTTTGTTTCTATATTAGGTGTGGACAATGTGGGTTGAAAACAGAGAAATAGAAGTACCAGAGGAAGAGTTGTTGGAAGAGACATGTGTTGTCCCAGAGGTACTAAGATGTATTCATGTGGCTTTACTTTGTGTTCAACAGAAACCAGAAGATAGACCAACCATGGCTTCTGTTGTCTTGATGTTTGGAAGTGATAGTTCTCTTCCTCACCCTAAACAACCTGGATTTTTCACCAACCGGAACGTTCCAGATATCTCTTCATCTTTAAGCTTACGTTCACAAAACGAAGTTTCCATCACAATGTTGCAGGGAAGGTAGATAAATGAAGATTATATATAAACTATTTGGTTAATGTAATGCAAAATGTAATGCGTCACCAAGAAAAAACAATCAAACAAAACAAAAAGGTTACAGATTATAGAATATACAGATATCAATTACAAGGTTTATCTAGGCTCTATTACACTCATGGTTTGTAAATTATTGGAAGGAATCTCGAGATTAATCGATACAGTGTCGGAAAACAAGAGATTTCTTTCGTTAAAAAAACCGGGCTGCCTCGGATCAAGAAGCAACATGTCACTACTCAACATCAAAACCACCACTGACATGTTTGGTCTGTCTTTAGGATCTTGTTGAACACATAATAGACCAATGTGTATCACTCTTAACACTTCAGAGATATCGGTACATGACTCATTGACAGCTTCATCGATTAGCTCATATGCCTTATCTTCTAAGAATTGCCTCCAAGCCTGAAAATTTATACGTAATTAGATAAGATTAGAAGAACTTGAGTTAATTTTGCTGCTGCTGCTGCTAATGTACTTACGTGTCCAAGAAGGTTAAGCTTGTGTTCTTCATTACGAAATCCGCGGTTTCTTCTTCCTGTCACTATCTCTAATACCAAAACTCCGAAGCTAAATACATCGGATTTCAATGAGAAATACCCGTCGATTTGATACTCCGGCGACATATATCCACTGCAGAAAGATAGGAAACAAATATTTTGAATAAATAAACGTTTTACTTGCTGCATTGAAGTAAAAAAAAAAAAAACAGAGTTAATCTTACTATGTTCCAACTACTCTGGTCGTGTTTGCTTCAGTTTCATCTCCTCCCAAGGTTCTAGCCAATCCAAAATCGGATATTTTCGCATTCATATCAGAATCAAGCAACACATTGCTTGCTTTGAGATCACGGTGGATGATTCGAAGCCTTGAATCTTCATGGAGATACAACATTCCGCGAGCAATCCCTTTGATTATTTCCACTCGTTTAGGCCAATCAAGTTCTCTACGTCGTTCTTTATCGAAAATGAAAGAATCCAAGCTTTTATTCGGCTGATACTCGTAGATAAGCATTCGTTCATCTTCCTCCACACAATACCCAAGAATCTTCACAAGATTCCGGTGTTGAAGCTTCGCAATCAGCTTGATCTCGTTCTTGAATTCTTCTATCCCTTGTCTCGACGTTCTTGATAGCTTTTTTACAGCAATTTCTTGTCCACAAGCCAATGTTCCCTGGTAAAAGAATCAAACATTTTACCTTTTTGAGCAGGATCTGAGAATTAGACAAGATGCTGTGATTTGTTACCTTAAACACCGGTCCAAAACCACCTTGTCCAAGTTTGTTCCCATCAGAGAATCCACTTGTAGCTTCTGAGATTGTGTCAAGATCAAGAAATGGTAATTCAAGATCTTCTTCCTCTTGTTTCCTGCTTGAAACACGAAGAGATTCGCGCTGCACAGTTTCTGAATAAATATCAACGGTTTAATTAACTTATCAAGCACATCAGAAAAACAAGAGCTACAACTACAATCATGTACCTTTTGTTGCAAGTTTCTTTTTCTTCATGTTGAAGACAGTCAGACCAATGCAAAGGCAAATAAGAAACAGAGCTGTAGATAATACTATTATGAGCAACATCCTTATCTTTCCCTTCATGTAATGGATATTATACTTGTCTGTGATCGAACCAGAACAAACAAAAAAAAAAACTGATCAAGATTTAAATCATTCTCCAGTAAAACAATGTTTCTTGTTTCACAAGTCTTAAACCTTACCTATCTCAGAAGAAGCAAGCCTCACATACAGATCTTGTCCGTTTTCATTATACTCTCTTATATCAATCAAATCTCCGAACCAGAGAATACATCCTTTTCCGCCGTCTCTAATGTCGAAAGGCGAATAAGCCGAGCATGTACAGTTTCTCAAGCATACCTTTTTGCATTCACTCAAATCCATGTTCTTATCATACCACGATGTTCTTGTATCTGGTAACTTCAACTTTGGAATCTTCAGAAAGTCGTCTTCTCCTTTACCACAATCCAATTTCACTCTCCTAACGCACCCTTCTGACCAATCCCCTGCAACCCAAGCCTCTGGAGATTTAGCAACAAACCCTTTTAAACACCTACAAGCCGGAGAATCATTGATGTTGCAGCTTCCGTAAGAGCCACACAACGTGTAGAGATCACAACTATCCATCATAGCCGATAAGTAGAAGTTCCAACTTTGAAGGCTCTCGACCCAAGTGTAACGTTGCAAAGCTCCATTCGGATTCAGCTGCATTCTTGTGATCACTGAAGGGTTTTCAAGCTTGTAAGTGTAGTAAGCTTCTTCCTCCGTGAAGACAAACTCATACCGATAGATAGGGTTAGGTTTTAGGTGAGGCATACCGGTGAATCTTAGCCCGTTCCATGGACCAGTCCTGAAGTAATCAACCGAGTTTCTCTTCAGGAAAAACTGCGGGACACCGTTTGGATCCATTTTATTCGTGTAGTTGCCGGTTGACGGATCGTCTAGGGATCTCCAAGATGTCAAGAACCGGTTTATACCAGTGACAAAATTGATACCATATTTCATTCCTGGAAGAAACATATCTCCTGGGTAATCTAAACTCTGCCATATGTAATCTTGATCATCCCCTGAGTTTCTCACAACTAAATTACTTGTATCAAGAATCTGAACAATTGGGTTTCTTACGCTGGTTTTCTGGGAAGATGGTGATGATGATGATGACCAGATGAGGTAGTTCTGGCCATTGAAGAGGCATAAGCTCCCATTTCCAGATACTTTTAGGGTTCCTGAGAGATCGTAGAGAGGAGAGTCTCTGTTAGCGACCCAAACAACTGTCTGCAGAGAGATTTTCTTGTACCAAATTCCGAGATAACGATTTCTTGATCCTCCTGGAGAGAAAAAACCAACCTCAAAGCTCCCACCTTGTGAAACTATGGTGTCTCCATCTTTTAGAGTCTGATTTGCTGCGAGGATATCAGTTGCTTGTGCCACAAGAATTGTCGAAAACAGAGAGATGAGAAGCAGAGGAAGCACAATAGTGGCTTCCATGGCCGGTTCTGTGGAACCAGAGAGCGTGGAAACGAAGTTGCTATATAAACAATGATGATAATCAGTTATTTTATTTGTTTGATCACTGGAAGAGAAAATTGTTTAAGTTAGTTTCCATGGAATATATTTGAATATTTGTTAATGAGATAGACATGGAAGAGAATTGCAATGAGTAGCTGTCCAGTATCTTGCGTCGTGATATTATTTGCTCTTAATGTCAACCACAACGTGCCCAGAGATTTATATATTTGTAGTTTTACTATATATTATAGGACAAATGGTGGAATGATATTCAATGGAGATGCAAATTTACTTGTCAATTGGAACTAAATAATGCAATTTAACGAAGATAAGAAGAAAACATCAAACAAAATTTAGTGGGGAGCTTCTCAATCTACAGCAAGTAAGCTCAGAAACCATTGAATATTCAAAAACAAACAATCCTCAGCTTAGTCTTTAACAAGAACAAAAAAACAAAACAAAAAAACAATCCCCACCTTACAGTGTTGTGATGGGCTTTCTCGACCCGACCCAGTATAATTCGCCACGTAAAGTGTTGCTGATTCGGCATGTGGGCCGGCCCATGGTTATCTGTTAGTAAGCTTCCATGTAATCTAAGAAAACATAAAACGAGCCGTATGGATTAAGAAGATAATATACACTTTCAATTTTCAAATATATGATGAATTATTATCAATTTTCTGACAATAAAAAAAGTTATTATCAATTTTGTGACAGTAAAAATGTTATTGTCAATTTTATGATACCTTTTATCTGTATCTTACATAAACATGAATCAACAAATTTAATATTTCAGTAGCAAATTTTATTTATGAGAGGTTTTCATAAGAGCATAATGGTTTATTAGCAACTCAGCATTAAGAAGACAAGCCCATTAAGAGGCAAGAGTAAGACCTAAGATATCATTACTTCACTAGTCAGGAATCATGATTCAACAATGTTCGTTCTTTGAACTTGACTCGTTTTTAAATGTAGAAGCATTATTGCACTGCGGTTTTAGGTTAAATATATAGTATATATATAATCATGAAATAATGACAATGGTTATCCTATAAGCAAGATTTGGTTGGATTATACATAGATTAATGCAGCGGCATGCAATTAGAGAACGGGCAGACCAAGTAGTAGAATATTCTGTCCGCTGCATTTAGTTTTTCTGACGATGTCTTTGAATAAGGAACCCCAAAATTTGATTTAATCAAATACCAAGCATAAAAATGTCACATACAAAATTATAATCAAATGTTAGTCAAACATTGATATTTCGTTTGTCTGGAATTTCAACTTGAATGTCATAAATTTTTTATATACTAGTATAAGATTCACGATGAGATTAAGTATTTGACGATCTGAATATTCAGTTCTAAATGGTCCAAAAAAAAGTCTATAAACTCGAAAGTTATAATCTTAATGTGTCACGGATAAGTTGAATGCATTTCATAGCTATTCAATTTTTCAAAACTAACTGAGATAAACATATATTTGAAGTAAGTTATAACAACAGAGCTAAAACTGATTCCACATTTCGTGAAATTTTTGACCAAAAGTAACTACAATTATAAAATAAAAAACTGTGTGATCGGGCAAAACCAGTATTTGAATAATTCCAGAGAAATTTCTCTACTCGAGCCGACCTAATCTTTGAAGATAAATAAACAATCTCAAGTCACTTGCCGAGGAAAGTGGTGGAAATTTCCATAAATAAATGAACAAACAAACAAACAACTCCTCCATTCATTTCCGATTACTTAACTCTTTCTCTAATTCACAATATAAATCAACGGACGAGTTTACCCTCCACCTCGTTGCTTTCACACTACGCAACTTTCCATATCCGTTTACGAATTGACGGTTTTACCCCTAAAGCGAGCTTCCTAGAAGAAACCACAACAACAACAAATTGGGATTTATCGCAATTTCCCAGACACAGGGACCTTCCCTCATTATCTTAGCTGGCTTCCATGGATGTTCCTTCTCAGAAATCCCAATTCCTCTTCCTTTATATTCTCATTCTCTCCTCAAACCAATAACATCGATCAAACAAACAAACAAACCTTCCTTAATCAGAAACCAACCAATTTCAGATTTTTAAACATCATCATCAGCTTTAATGGCGTCACCAAAGTCACCTACAAGACCAACCCAACAAAACCCACAACCCAATTTCCACGATTTCCTTCCCGCCATGGCCGGAAACCTAGGCGGTGAAGGTCTGATCGGAGAGCTCTGTAACGGATTCGAGCTCTTGATGGATAGAGAGAAAGGTGTCATCACGTTCGAGAGTCTCCGACGTAACGCAGCGGCGGTGTTGGGTCTCGGAGATTTGACTGATGAAGATGTTCGGTGTATGATTAAAGAAGGGGATTTTGACTGTGACGGTGCGTTGAATCAGATGGAGTTTTGTGTGTTGATGTTTAGGCTTAGCCCTGATTTGATGGAGGCTTCGCGGTGTCTCGTCACGGAGGCGATAGAGGAGGAGTTCGGCACTCGCCGCCGGCATTAACACCGGAGAGATTTGGGATCATTCCACTTTGATTTAATTCGATTCATTTGTTACCTTTTTCTTATTTTCCATTAATGTTACCAATTCACATAATTCTTTGAATCATATTTGATACAATTTAGTTTTTATATATAAAAAAATTGATGTTGATCGGATGTTATGAACATATATTAAATAAAGAAAAAATTTGCGTAACTTGGTTTAAATTAGATAAATCCATTAGACAGTTGATGAATGTATCCATTATTCCAAGTATCGATTTGTGGTTAACCAATTTTAGGTAAGAAAATAAGCACAAACCAAGAAAATTGTTGAATCACTATGTCGTGATTCTAGTGCTTAATCTTTCCATGAATAAAGATATGTTAATTAGGAGCTATCCAATCTAAATTTTACAATTAAGGTTGTTTATTGGATCAAAAAATAAGTTAAGGGGCATAAATATAATTTAATCAGTCTTTGGGTGCGTTGACTAAAAATTATCTAAGAGCTATAACAATTTGGAGCTAGATTTTCTGGGGAAAAAAATCAGAAAAGCTTTGAGAAGATCGAGCGCACTTCTTCAATGGCGACCAAAGTTTACATCGTGTATGTGAACAATCATCTTCTGTCGTAATGTTTTTTTCGTGGTTTATTTTTCTGTTGGAACACTGATTGCAAATGATCGATTTCATTTTCACTGATCTCAAACTTACAGTGTCATTGTGACTCGAAGATTTTCTCTGTGGTTTGATATAGTTATCATTGTTGCAATTAGAATCATGGGTCTCTGTGTTGCTTTGCCTTAATTTTATGATGGGTTTGGATTTGATGTGAGATGCAGTGAGTGAGTGGTGCCTTGACAATTTGGTGAGTGTAACAGGTACTACTCAATGTACGGGCATGTGGAGAAATTAGCTCAAGAGATTAGGAAAGGTGCTGCTTCTGTTGATGGTGTTGAAGCCAAACTCTGGCAGGTCAGTTCTTGCTTGAGCACATCTGATTCTAGTTTACAATGAGAGACAGTTTCAAGTGACTAGATATCTTTTAAAATGTAGGGGTTGAAGTTAAGAACATGTTCTTGTATCTGGAAAATAGGGGAATACATTTCTAGATTGTTGGTTACTGGAATATCTTTTACTTTGCCACCATTCTTAGGTTTATTTGAGTGATTCAACACTATTGACTGATGATGACTACTTACTATATAGGCTAACTATTTTTGGAACCAATGAGGTACATTAATCTTAACCTACAGTGTCTGTTGGGCATATCCTGTTGTCTTATCTTCGTTGAACAATGTGTGCTTCACTGAGTTTAATGAGAAATGAGAAATTTGCCCTAAATTTTGATTTACTAAACATTTGTGGATGCCAACATTCTTGACAGTATTTGCTGTCTCGAGCTCCTTTATTTTGACTAGTTACTACCAGTTATTTCCTTGGGGTTCAGAACCAACATATTTTACCATAAGCTCTACTTTTAATGTCTATAGTGTGCTTTCCCTTAGTTCATTTACCCAAAAGGGCAGGTTCCTTAATTCTGCATCTATTTTCTTCTGTCAGTGTTTCTGATCATAAGTTATCTTTGAATATATACATATACGGATATACCTGTGAAGAATCATTGGGTACACTGAAGTATTGAGCTAGCGTTTGTTCTTGACAGGTACCCGAAACACTCCAAGAAGATGTGCTCTCTAAAATGAGTGCACCACCAAAGAGCGATGCTCCTATTATCACCCCAAACGAGCTCGCTGAGGCTGATGGATTTGTCTTCGGCTTCCCAACAAGGTTTGGTATGATGGCTGCTCAGTTCAAGGCATTCTTGGATGCAACCGGCGGCCTTTGGAGGACTCAGCAACTCGCCGGTAAGCCAGCCGGAATCTTCTACAGCACAGGGTCCCAAGGTGGTGGTCAAGAAACCACAGCGTAAGTTTCTTTTCACAATCCAAACAGCATTCGTCAAAGAGACCACTTGCTATATTGTTGATGAAACGGATTTCTGTGTATAGATTAACTGCCATTACTCAGCTGGTCCATCACGGGATGATATTTGTCCCGATTGGGTACACATTTGGTGCCGGAATGTTTGAGATGGAGAATGTAAAAGGTGGAAGCCCATATGGGGCGGGAACATTTGCCGGAGATGGGTCGAGACAGCCAACGGAACTGGAGCTGGAGCAAGCATTTCACCAAGGTAAGTACATAGCTGCCATAAGTAAGAAGCTCAAGGGACCTGCTGCTGCTTAGAGCTCTCTCAAAAAGATAATATTTTGATTCTTTGTTGGTGAATTCCTACAAATTGGCATTTTGTGATTTTTTCGCTTTGGAATTATCTAACACTGAATGAGTTACTTCTGCTCATGAGCAAATAACACGCCATTGCCTTGGTTTGTAATTTGTCCCACTTCTTGACTTGGTTTAAAGGGGAAACTCACTTGGTACGCGGTTTAGTGAAAACATTGTTGGTAGTTTAAAGTGGCCCACGAAAGGCCCATCACTTGAAAAAGTCAGTCCAATAAATTCATTTATCAGAGTTGAAAGATCCAAAACTGGACTCAATCGGACCGGCTTCTATCACATAACGATATGAGATCTCTTGGATGCGACTTCAATATCTAAGGTTGTTCTCGATGACAAGTACATTATCGGCTCGTCTGAACCACATTTAAAAAAGGTCAGAATTGCCTCAGTGATTTTATCCAACGTACCACTTGAAGAACGTATTTATCAAAACTGTACTTTTTTTTGTTAGTCAAATTAAAACTAACGTACTAAACAATTAAACTATCCGTTTAAAAGTTTATATTATGAGAATTTCACAGAAAAAATTCAGAGGTATTGAAAATAAATTGTATATCTTTCACTGATCGCCTGTTTTTGACCAGCACATGTTGTCAAATGTTGTTCTTTCAAAGATAGAAATATCCATTTGATTATCATTGCATGTAAATAATCATAGTAGCTAATGTTGTTTATTAACATAGCTTTTAATATCCATTAGATTATCATATAGCTACTGCATTATTACGTGACTATAAAAATAAAGTGAATTTTGTGGATTGGTCATATATATAAGATAAGGAGAAATGGAGGGGACCAAAATAGTTTTTTAACGTAAACTAGTCGAACATGAGGGATCAAATTGGTTTGTTCGATTTGAAGTGCGACTTAGATGATATAATTTGGTCTAATAAATCCACGACATATAAAACAAAATAATTGAAACTTAAAGATGGTTTACTTGATTTGGCCAAATATTATAATATATCCAAAAAATCCATGAGAGTATAATGCTATAAAAAAAGGAATAAACAAATCAAAAATAAACTATCCCTGAATTGAATAATAATAAATCTCACATAATAATTCCATTGTTGTATGAAAGAGTGACAACACTATGTTGGGTATAAGTTGTTGCATGTGCAAGACCCGAAAAATAAGTAATTATTCCCTTAAATTGACATATCAATTTGTTAGGACAAAACGGAAAGTCCAAATGATAGTATCGTAAAGCAATTGAACTCATTGATTTGTGGTCAACAAAAATTGAACTCATTGGTTCAAGAAAACTCATGTGGGTCATATATTAGAAAGAATTGATTAGTTAATGAAATAGTGTCATAAAACCATAGTAATTACTACTAACCCACTGGTTAACGTAATTTTTTTCTTTAATCATCACAGTTCATGTAAGTAGGCATATTAAAATATGTTAACAAATTTCATGTCGTTGGTTCGTGGACTAACAAAGGTTCGATAAAACTAGGACAGAAAAAGAAGATATGTATGATTGTTTTTGGAAAACGATGGGCATAAGACATAAAACACTGCATAGCGCATTATGCGAGTATGCATGAATATTCTAATGTCTCAATTCTAAACAATGCATGATGAAGTTGTTTAATTATAGTTTTATTATTCTTATAAACAATATTATAATTATCATGTCATGTCCCAAACTCCCAATGTAGCAACAAAAATCATTAACATGGGCATGTTTACTGTTTCATCATTAAACTTATAAATATCACATTTTTGTTATCTCAAAGAGGCACAAAAACGGCATTAAAGAATAATTTGTAGTTGAAGTCAATAAGTGATAGACTGTGGTTTTTGGTCACTGGAGAATGCAGATGCAGAGTATGTGACTTGGCCTTGGAAACTTCTTGACAAAGATAAAAAGAAAACTTGTAGATAAATGTGACTGAACATATCTAAATTACATTATTGTATTTATTGTGAACGCGTTATAAGAGATTTTATCAAAGAAAAATATCAATTGATTTGTTAAATAAGTGCAGAAGAATGATAATTTATGGGAAAAAATCCAAGACGTCTAAATCCTTGTTTGTCTTCTACAAATGATTCAAAGCGGGGGATGGAAGAAAAAATAGAATTGCAGAAGTCGTCAGACATTGTCGTTTTACTTCAACAGTGAAAATGGGCCAAGATCTCTGGTCTACCCAGCCCACTATGTAAGCCCGAGAGAAGACCAAAGCTATGTCTACCACACGTGCGGGATATTGTAAGGGACCCGGTCAAAGTCAACCCTCATCGCACGTGTCCATGTCTTTGAGCGATATGTCCAGTTGCAACCTCCCAAAATACTTGCACCGAAATTGCTGTCTGCGCCATCTAAAATTTTCTATTATCCTTATTCATTATAGAAAACTGATGGATATTAGTGAAATGGGAGAGCGAATAAAAGATTAACATGGTAGCAAACAGTAAATATATTCTGATGAAAATATCTTTCTTAAGACATGCTACTTTGACATAATAGAGAGTGTAGATGTTGATTTTATGGGACACGAGTCCAGTGGCCTAATGTTGTGAGTCTCAAGAAGTCGAGCAATATGTCTCTAACATAACATATATATTGTTCATGATCTGTTTTATCAAGCAATTCGTAATCCAAGTAACTGCCTCCAATTTCTCATGGAAAAATAAATGCTTATGCGATGATTCTTGATTTTTGCTAATGAGACACCTTAAGACATTGGTTAAAAAAAAAAGAGACACCTTAAGACACATAACCAACCAATTATTGAGTAGTAGTTGCCAAGTTTCCAAAATCTATCCACGAGATCAAAGCTAATTTATATATAATAGCAATCTAATAAATACCATTTGCACATTTGAACGGTTGCGTCTTTTAATCGTAACCTTTCGTTTAAATATTTACGGTTATTTTTTCTCGCTTGAGTCTTTATATCGCAACTTTCCATTAAAATATTGACGGTTATTTTTTTCTGTTGTATCTTTTTATCGCAACTCTTCGTTAAATATTGACGGTTACTTTTTTGTTGACGGTTATTTTTTCGGTTGTGTCTTTTTCTCGAACCTTTCCGTTAAAATATTGACGGTTTCGTTTCTGTCTTTTTATCACAACTTTCCGTTAAAATATTGACGGTAATGTTTTTTCGGTTGTGTTTTTTTTTTGCAACTTTCTCTTAAAATATTGACGGTTATTTTTTCTCGGTTGTGTCTTTTTATCGTAATTTTCCGTTAAAATATTGACACTTATTTTTTCTCGGTTGTATCTTTTTAACGCAACTCTTCGTTAAAATATTGACGTTTATTTTTTTTTGTTGACAATTATTTTTTTGGTTGTATCTTTTTATCGTAATTTTTCGTTAAAATATTGACGGTTACTTTATTCGTTTGTGTCTTTTTATCGCAAGTTTCCGTTAAAATATCGACAGTTCTTTTTTTCTCGGTTGTGTCTTTTTATCGCAACTCTTCGTTAAAATATTGACGGTTAGTTTTTTCGTTGACGGTTATTATTTTGGTTGTGTATTTTTATCGCAACTTTCCGTTAAAATATTGACGGTTATTTTTTCTCAGTTTTGTCTTTTTATCGCAATTTTTCGTTAAAATATTTACGGTTACATTTTCGTTGACGGTTATTTTGTTGGATGTGTCTTTTTATCGTAACTTTCCGTTAAAATATTGATAGTTAATTTTTTTGGTTATGTCTTTTTATCGCAACTTTCCGTTAAAATATTGACGGTTATTTTTTCTCGGTTGTCTTTTTTTATCGCAACTTTCCATTGAAATATTGACGGTTATTTTTTCTCGGTTATGTATTTTTATCGCAACTCTTCGTTAAAATATTGACGGTTGCTTTTTTCGTTGACGGTTATTTTTTCGGTTGTGATTTTTATGTCTTTTTGGTTTGACTCGCTAGAATTTTTCTTCTCTATATTATAACTCTTTGTTATGTATTTTGTCACTTATAAATAATTTTATATTTAGTGTTTATAATTATAATTTTTCTTTTTTACATTTTTATTTATAAATTTTTCTAACATTTTTGGGAAATATTTACGATATAACTTTAAATGATAGTTAATATTATGTAAAATTCAAATATTTGAATATATCATCATAATAATTTAATACATAAACATAATAAAATATATTTGTTAAAAATGAGTTCCCCCGCGATATCGCGGGAGTTCATAACCTAGTTCTTATAAGATTACAACTATTCATATAAAATAATGATACATGAGAATGCACCTTCACTTGGCCAAAAAATTTTAGAAACATTAACTTCATTAAAACAGCTTGTAAATAGGTTTTGAGGAGAGAAAAAAAAAACTTAATCCTTCTTGAAAACACATTTTCACTTTGGAAAATAGTAAAAGGGCTAGGTTATGTTATAATTTAAGACAGTATCACGTGAAGGGCCGTGTGTTCAACTGTTCATCAACTCTGGTAGGTCCAAGTCAACGCAAGCTTGTGGACATTTGTTGAGATCTGAGTGGGTTGTTACGGAGAAAACGGTCTTTGAGTCCCCACAGACAGTAGCAGTGAACCGGTCGGTTCTGTTCGAGTTTGTTTGGTATTGTCTGTTTCTGTTTTAGGGTCTCTTATCTACAATTTTATTTTCCTCGAGTCCATTGTTGTTTTTTCCCTATATCAATTTTAATGTCGGGATCAAAAAGCATACAATTTGATTAAGGTCAAGAGTAGAGTTTATTAAGCATACAAATTTGCATGTCCAGTTACAACGTCTACACTTTTTTATATATACAATCAGAATTTAAATATATGGATAAACAAATTATAGACTACACTAAATTTGAGCTCTCTTCTTCATAATTTGCGTAGAAAAACGGAAAGTTATGTTAAATTTAGAATCTTTCAAAAATAGTGAAACTAAAAGGAAAATTTTAAGATATATTTCTGAAAGAACAGAAAATTCGTCAAATTACAATTGAATCTTTCTCCAAGACTCCAACTATCGTTGTTTCTAATTATCAATCACACACATAAGAATGGGTTGTGACATGAGACAAGACAACCTTATCTTTAACGTCAGTGGCGCAGTAGTACTCAAGTACAGTTTATCATTATTGCAAACATTTAACGGTAAATTCTAAAAATATTGAATATTATGTAATATAAGTACAATACAATGCACTTGTACAAAATTATTGGGTTTCATGTGTCTCTATCGGTAAAATGTCAGACGTTTGCCTTTTTTCTGGTAAAGGTGTTAAAAGAGCCACACTATCTCAGAACATTGTCTTATCTCCTCAACCATGAACTATTTGTACGTGTTCATTATAATAATAACAAGTTTTATTTTTCCACACTTTCTTTCTTGTTTTATAATTTTAAATATATCAAAAGTAAAATACTATCTACGTAGTTTTGACTTTTGATTAAAAAATCTCACTCCAATACGATTGATAAAACATTGCTTGGATAGTCGTATAATTATCTTTCTCCGGAGAAAATGAGAGATCAATAACCGCAAAGATAAAGTTTTGAGGGATGTTTAAAGAGAAAAGAGTATGACATATGCAACACTTTAGAAAAAAAGGAGACGAAAATATCAAAATTTTGATCATTATAAAGAAATGTCAATTTGTGGATTAATTGTTTGTGTGTCAGTGTCATTTAAAGAGAACCACCGTTCATTTTTTATAAATACGATTCATTTTTAATATAAAGTCTGTCAACGTAACAATAATTCCAGGCCAGTGTTGTTGTCTTTGATGCTCACGTAGGGAACAATGGTATCTAGACTTGATTTTTTTTCTTTCCTTTATTAATACTACGTTCAAGATGATAATATTAAAATCTGAAGAAAATTGTGGGAAATTCTTTGTGGATGCGTCATTCTATCACGTACGTTAACTCCTTCTGATCATGCTCGTAAGAGAAAGAAAAAAACTAATTATATTGTCTGTGTTAACAAATTAGGAGTATATAATAATAATATCACTTATATTTATGTAAACCCTTGAAAAAAATACACGGAAAACATAAAATGTCTGATCTATCTGATATATTTATGATTATAAAGTCGTATCGATCATTAGGTTAGTGACAACAAAATGTTAACTATTGTCAATTAATGATGATCAAGAATCAATTAGTTTCAACTATGAAGATGTTATTCTTTTGTCCATTATCCTTATTTTTTAGTATATTGAACTCATACATGATTTTGCTTTTGCTTTGTTTAGCAACCCCAAAACGAGTAAAGACCTAGGTCTCACATTAATGTTGTTACCAATTTCTTCTTAACAAAATCATTTTAGCAAATTGCACTTTGCCGTTGCTTGTAAATGATAAAAGTCCAAACAATTACGCATTAAACAATAGAAAAACTTAGAGGCTCGAGAAAGTGATGGAGAGAAACAAAGAGTTGGTTGGAGAAAACATGATTTGCCTTTTGTACAACTGCTTTTCAAATCCAGAGGGACTATGCATATTAAAAGGATAACAAAAAAAAAAGAACAAAAGATTAAACTAAAATTAAGATTAGAGAAGACATCATCATTTGCAAGTCCAAGTCCCAAACCTTCTAGCTCAAAGAGAGTCTCTTCACGTTCCACATTCCATCTTAGTTACTTCCCCACTGTTTGTGACCAGGGACCCATTTAGGACACTTGGGGCTTAAGTAACTATCAACAACCCTCGAGTTCAATAGCTCGATGATTGGAGCAAACTTCACACATCTCGGCGTCTTATACTGATTAATCGATGCTCCCAAGCTGATCGCGTAATCCATGAGCTTATCGAATGTCCCTGGCTCAACAATCTTGATCTCAAGCGGGCCTATGGACTTGTCACTAACCCTTCCTTGTCTATAAACAGTGTTGAATGACTCTTCTACAGTTAAGCAGCAATCCTCAAAGACCGATGGAGGGATCGGTGTGTTTCCATCCAAACATAGCTCCCAGAACAGGACATAATGGCCCGGGATAGAACTTGTGTCTGCATAGCTCGTGTACTCAGAGAGTGAGGCATCAAATGGGACAAGGTGTGTCACTGCGTTCTTCACCGCGTTCTGAAGCTCAACCTCATCGGTCTTGTCGGCATCTATGCTCAAGACCACATTCTTGCGACATATGAAACTGAATTGAGGCGCTTTGTTCTTGAATCCAGTCACTCTCAATAAATCACCAACTCTGTATCTGCAAAGCCCTGCAACAAATTCACAAAACATTAGAACAGACCCTTAAAATTTTTAAATCTTTTTGACTATAAATCAATCAAGAACTTTTGTTTTCTTACCAGCGTAAGTGGTGACAACAAGCTCGTATTCCTGACCAAGCTTGACATCAACTAGATCAACAAGCTCTTGTTGCTCTTTCTCAGTGAGTGCTTTGGGAAGGTTGATGGAGTTAGTAACACCGTTGTTTCTATGAACAGGCAAGAACTCGAAATAAGCCATGGATGGTATGAGCGTGTATGAGACCTCGCTTGGTTTGCAGAGTGGCCTTAGGTTCACACCAAAGTAACACTCGGAAGAAGCATACATTGTGCAGACAAGAGGCAAGCCATTACTGTAGTAGTCCAAAGTTGGAATGTATTGAGACATTGTCCCGGTCACAATCACATCCACATACTTTGTGTTAGGCCAAAGCCTAGTGATTATCCCTTGCCAAGACGACTTCTTGCACTCAAATTCCACAAAATCAGCGAGCTTTGGGCTCGGTTTAAGGATCTTGGAGACCGCCTCACGCACGGAAGGATCGGTTATCAGAGCACTTAGAGTACCGGTTCTGATGTCACGAACCAACTCGGTCCAGTGTTTCTCAAGAAACTTGATGGCTCTGATGAATCCAGAGGCAAAGACAGCGCCGACTCGAAGAACCTCCTGGTGTTGACATAAGCCACAGAGCATCTGAGAATACATGCTCTGGTAAGAGTCAGAGCAAAGGATGGTCTCGTTAGGGCTTGTGTAATTTGTGTAAGGATCATAGGGTCTTTCTTTGAAATGGGAAGATTTGTAGTAGCTGGTTAGGACAGGACGTGCAGGGAGGCCTCCTGGTGTCTTGGATTCGGACTTGATGAACAAGAAATACATTCCTTTGCCGTTTTCGAGACCAGGAACGAACTGGCTCATCACAGGCATTAAGAGACTGTAGAGAAGAGATCTTCTGTCGAGTTCCTCTTCGATTGTTGGCATTAGCTTCCTCTCCCCACCAGATGTTCCAGAGCTGTCAAAATAACATATACACAAAGCGTTGTTAGACTCCTAAGTTTAGAGAAATTTCATGAAAAATGTTGTGAAAAGTTTCAATCTTTTAGGTACCCAGAAGAAAAAAATTCAACTTTTCTAGAGTACTCATCGCCCAAAAACAACTTATGGATCTTCCAGTCTCAATCTCAAACTGAATGATAAACCAATAACTATGAAACATTTTTTTGAAAGAATCAGGTAAGAAAAAAACAGAGCATCGAGCAAAACAACACAAACAAAAACAGAGTATCGAGAAGAAGAAGAGAGAGTGTTACCTTGTGAGAAACTCAGAGATGGGTTTTGAAGAGAGGATAGGTGATTTATCACCATTAGCGATCCTGTTGATCTCAGGCTGAATATCTTCGTAGGTGATAACCGGCATGACGTTTTTGAAAGTCTCACGGTCAGTGCGACCGTTGAGGTCGTGTCGCCGGAGATACTCCACGTCAGCATTGCGGGACAAGATCTCCTCCAAGACACGTCTCTGGACTTGGTCGGCGTTAGAGGTCAGTTCTTCGATCAACTGAAGCTTTTGCTTGTTTTTTTGGTCAAGCGTCAGATCAAAAACCTCTAAAGATACCTTCTTTGGTGCCTCAGGCATGGTTTAAGAGAGAGAGAAGTTTGAAAAAAATGATTTGTGAGAGAGATAAGTAAGTAGATAAGCTTATGGTTTTTGCAAGCTTTTAGTGTGTGAGGAAGAAAGAAAGAGAATGGTCGATATATATAGAGGAGAATGAAAGGAAGGAAGGAGGGTGAAAGTAGACAACTGTGAGAGATGAAGGGTATAATCGTCATTTGCTAATTAGTTAATCCAGGAATTAAGTGAACGCTTACTATTCGTGCTTTTAATTGCCCTAATTATTTATAATTTAATTTCCATAACAAAAAGAGGAGTGCGACTCTTATTTCTCTTTCCGTATTGGTCAAAACATGTACCGGATGGATAACGAAGGTCTACTATAATAATAATGACTTCTATAACTATATAATTCATACCATTTCTTGCATTTTCTTGATTTTTTTCCATTCTTCAAAATATATACGTTATACTTTAATATAGAATTCCATGTGACTATTATTGCTATGAAGATTTTAGACTTAGCATATAATTGAGCTGACTTAAGCATATAATTATGAAGATTTTGTAATGAACCAACAGTTTGTTTGCATTGTTGTTAAGAAAAATCACTTTACAAATGAAAAAAAAAATCTCACTTGTTCAATTGTTATTCATCAAGTATCCGTTATGATTGCAGTGTATTTGGTATGAGTATGACAACAGATTATCCGAGACATTTGGTCGTCAGATGATACGGATTAAATAACTTATCTGGGAATTAATGTATATTAGTTTAATAATAGTTAATGTTTAATTGAGTTTAAATACAGGTTTTGAAATTTGAATTCTACAATAATGTTTGATGCAATATACTCAAGTCTAAAATACTCAAATCATTCATCCAAACTACATAATCTAAATTACTCAAATCAGTGATCTAAATCATGGAGAATACTACAAGTAATTAAATCGATTAACTATCTCAATCAGACTAAGATACTAATATGATAATTATTAAATAAGTGTCCGTCCATAACTACCGAGAATACGATAGGGGCACGGATTTTATAACGGGGTATAATCCGGTTGACCAGCACAACAACACCGGCAATATCCGGTTAATCCGCAGTAATCACGTACGGGTTGTCCCACAAATCACCGGCAACTAACTTTAAACCTTTTTAATACCCTAAGCTAACCAAACAATTGAAAACCATCTCTCAAAAACGGCGTTCGTTGGTAATTTCTCGCGGTATTTTGGCTAAATCAATGTTATCTCGGCGAGAAGAAGTTTTTTAGAGGTGTGTGTATATTGGGGGGGACCAGACAGCTGGACTCCAAACTTGATAGGTTGACACGTGTACGGGATTGTTGCTCTTGTACTAGTTTGGTGCCTTCACGTTGTTTAGTTTGAACTGATTTTTTTTTTTAATTTTGTTTTGCTCATCATCCATGTAAATTAAATGAGTAGATTTGAACATTTTGTTGGGTGTGAACGCAGTTTTTTGGATATTTCAGCTTCTTCTTCTTGTTTTTTTTTTTTTTTTTTTTCTTTTCTAAATTTGTATTTAAGCACATTCAACGTGAAACTTTGGATAAGCTCACCAGCCTAAATTGATAATTCTAAATTAAAATAATATTTCATATTGTTTTAGTGTCTAGAACGTAACTGAAACTTACTATTCGTGAAGATAGCTAGCCATATGATGGGTTTAAAGAGTTTATCATGTTGAATTCGATTTTAAAATTTTATATAGATATTTATAATAATAGGTGTTTAATTCAAAAAATAGTGTTAGAATTAGATTAAAGAAACACACTGTTTTTTTTTGCTAAGACAAGAAACACATTGTAATCTGGAAATTCTTTTTTTTGTTTGCTAATTAATTAGTGTTTTGTTTTGGAATGTTCTGTTATGTTTTTTGCTACTCATGTAAATATCATTAGAATGAATAATCAGGTTTTACAGATTTGTTAAACCTATAGAAATAGAGACCTTGGCAAAAAAGAGTAAAAACTAGGCCAAATTAAGGAGTTCAATGAGTGCATGTAAATAACGTCTACGTAATAATGGTTTTTCAATATATAGAGAAACGGAATTCTCAAAACTTCAGATAATTGTCTATAAAACATATAATTGATTCGAGATTAAGCAGAATCTAATGGCTGATGTGTGCTGTAATCTGATATGGTTTAAAATCGGTGCCTAACAGATTAACATGTACGTCTACATAGCGTAAGACTCTTAATTTCTGCTTTGTATTCAAGAGTCAAATACTTTGGTAAGTTGCTTGACTAATGACTACATGTGTCTATATATTATCCAAATCAAAGAGTAGAAAATTCGTACTTTATTTCCTTTACCCCAATATCAGTATTCAGTGGCAAATGAATTTTCAACTATCGTACATCTTTTAGCTTTACGACATTTGGAAAACTTTATAAATGTGGTTTAAATTATTTCCATACAAAGTCTTGATTGGATTGTTTGGAGAGACCCACGAATCATTTTTCGATCGATCAGTACATTCGGTAGCTATAAATAAATACCAAGAACTATCATAACATTAGGTTTTTGGTATGGAGGAGAAAAAAGGTAAGTTATCATAGATTAAAGCAGTCATTATATAGGAAACATGACAAAATTGTATACACTATTTGTACACAATACATAACTTTCTAATAATAAAACATTGATGATCATTCTTGAAAATGTTGACAGTTCCTGGTTTTACTCCTATAAATTATAATTCTTCGGACTGAGTAGTCTTTTTTTTTTTTTTTTTTTTAAATGGTGGTATTCGTACTCTGAACTTAAAATACTCTCCTCTTTAAATATCCAACTAACTAGAAATATTGAAACCTTCGTGGTTATTAGCTAGGCCTGGTAATTTGAACCGAACCGATTTGTCCGAACCGAACCGAACCGAGGTTTGGGCAAATCGGTTCGGTTTCTATATATTAGGTTAAACCGATCGGAAAGATTTAAAATTTTTTCGGTTAACCGAGATTTTTCGGTTCGGTTCGCTCGAACCGAACGGTTAACCGAAAAAGAAAACCCTAACCTAACCTAACACTAATCCAGCCACCAACACTCTTCTTCTTCGTTTTTTCTTCTCACCTTCCTCAGATTTTTCCTTTTCTTCTTTGATTCTTCTCCTTCTTCTTCTTTTCTTCTTCTTCTTCGATTTTTCTTCTCCTATTCTTCTCCTTCTTCGATTCTGAGATTCTGAGATTATCAAAAACCTCTCGATCTTCTGGACTGCGTCGAGGTTGGTGGTTAACGGCATCGAGCGATTCGAGGAGCACACTCGCTGCTGCGGGAAGGGCAGATCCATCCTCTCGCATCCTCTGTCGGATCGGAGATAGATGCATCACGAAACGGCAGATCCGCCTCTCGCAATGGTTTCTTTCTCCATTGAACGAAGTGATTAAGTCTCAGACTCTGCGACGCTCTGTACAGCCGCCGGAAAACCGCCATGAACTTTGTCGTCACAAAACCGAAATAACCGAAGTGAAAAAACCGACATAACCGTGTCCGAACCGAACCGAACCGAAATTGTTAGTCGGTTTGTTCGGTACATAATTCATTTTCCGAATAACCCGAAAAACCGAGTAACCGAAACCGAATTAACCGAACGGTTCAAAGTCGCAGGCCTAGTGGTTATCATCTATTTCAAATTCTCTTTCCTTTATCATTTTAAAGAATTTGGTTCATCATACACAGATTATCCCAACATGCCACGCGGATGTTCCCTCCACCGAAAATCAAGTGTGAGCAGGTGCACTAAAGGATGCAGATGTGTACTAACTAATATTCAATGTTGACAAAGGACGATTTTGGAATTTCGATATTCTAAACAGAAAAAAATTCCGTACTCTCACACACTTTCACAGTTTCTGTTGTGCTAATAATAATATACGGAAGCTTGTGGCGTCGGCGGGAGACACCGACAGTCATTTAATACCTTTGACCATTAACTTTTAATATCATCTCCTGTGTTTTTTTTTTTCTTTCTAATGTTTTCAAAATTAGTTTTTCTTCCTCAAATCTTATTGAAATAAATGACATTTGCTTTCTAAATCTGATATATGCTAATGAGAAAATGATTATATTAAATTAAATTAGTCTTTGTTTTCTACATGGTTCTCATTATCTCATCTTGAGTACTTTTGAATCTTGATCAAAAGAGATGGTCATGCTATTATCCTCAGAATTACATGAAAAAAATGAGCACCGTGATGAAAAACTGAAAATAGAAGCAAAAAATTTCCTCGACACCATTCTGTTTCCCCGCATCCAATGAAAAAAATGAAAGCCATGCATATAATTAGTTTTACACATATATATTTCGCATGGATAGATGAAAATAATGGAAACAAATAAATAAAGCTGTTACTCGAGTTAATATTTTTTAAATCACAGTTTTGTCGAACTTAGTTAATTAAAATCATGGTGTTACAAACGTGCATGTGTTTGGTTGAAAGTTAAAGATGGCTTTATGGCCTAGTATAAGTGATGCAGCGTATATTTGGATAATTCCAAATATCTTTATTATTTCCTAATATCTTTATTTAATTATTTAGATAATTTCTATTTATTGTTTTATGAATATTCTAGAGTTTTTAGATTTATTATAAATAAGGCTTTTAGGCCTAGGGTTGTATACAGTTGATTGATTAATAAAATTAAAGAGCTTTTAACTTTTCAGAGAAGAGTATTCTCTAATCCTTGTTTTCGGTAGATCTCGAGAGATCTCAACGATTATAAGAAGACGTGGGATTCGGTATTCGCGGAGAATCAACGAATTCCTCACGTTCTCTCGTTTCTGGTATTCCGAGGAATCAACAGATCCGAGAAACCCTAGTTTTCCGGTATTCCGAGGAATCAACGGATCTCTAGTTCTATCCTTAAAGCTTCCGCTACTTCAGTTGGTATCAGAGCTGCGTCTCTTTGATTTCTCAATCGAAGAACGATTCTGGTGATCATGTTGAGTGGTAACTTTTATCCCTTTGCAGAAGAAAGTTTGTTTGAAGATGGTTACAGAGAAATCTACGGTGATCCTATCTACGATATCTATGAAGATCATGTCTTGGTTATTGATCATGTAGATTTTGTGTTCAACGAGGGT